TAATTTTGTTATTTTTAGCATTATCTTCACATCTTGAATTTGTTGGTAATTCTCTGCCTCTTTTCGTTTATATTCTTCTTCACTATCTAATCATTTACACACTTTTTAATATATTACGTAATGGTTTTAATGTTTTTGTGGTGATTATTTAAAGTCCAGCGATCTACGTTTGACCTACTATCTCCAATGTTGAACTATTGACAAAACTTTTGTTATCGTATTTTATTTTTCTTACTACTATCAGTACACCTATCACCCTATTATCAACTTGTACTTTTGCTTATAACGTGTAGTGACGTAATCTATTTCATTTCATTGTGATTTTTGACTCATAAATTGCTTTGATTAGTTTAACATTTTCATATAAATATTCATGTATAGATTAGAGTAAAGCCTGATAACGATCTAATCGAAAACAGCAATATTGTTCACTTATATGTGTTGTTATCATTTTCAAAAAAGTTGAAAAGTTGCACATACTTTGACTAATTTCATGCAGATTATCTAGTCAATATGATGATAGCTAGTTGAATATTTTTAGTTTATAATCCATTATACTTTATGATCGTTTAGTACTTACTGTGTTGTTATTCAATAAGCCGATTAGAGAAGTGAATATATATTAAACGTTTGAAGTGATTTTAAATAACGTGACTGAAAATAAGACATTTAGATTTGGTGAATAGTATTTTGTTGTTTGCTTAATAATAATCATAATAATCGTTAAAGTGATTTCATCTCTTTAATTACCTATGAAATCAATGTGTAGATTACGGTGACAAATATATATTCGATTTATTATTCTGTCAGTTGAAAGTTTCTAGAATGCGTTGGCTTTATGAAGATGGAATTGATTTTAGACATTCCATTGATTATTAGCACCAGTTGAATTATGATTATAAGATTTCATGTACATATTAAGCATTGGTAACCTTAGAGTTACACATGAACGCCTTTCATATAGTATTCATGAAAGTATAGTTTACAGAAAATGATTCTATATAACAGCATGAAAGAGATAGTTTTGATTCCTGTTTTCAAACTAAATAATCTGATTTATGTAAAGTTTTGTCAGAAAAGTCTCCAGTTGTCTAGTTATCACATCAACAGACTGAGTGAAGTATCTGCATAATCAACATGGCTTAAGATGAACTAAGGAAATCAACAGTTTTATTAATTCAAGGTTTAAAAGTGTAACCTGAAAAGTGGAAGTTTTGTTAATAAGGAGTTATCAATTGCTATACTGTTTGACTTAATCGGTGTACGTTCAGTTTAGAAAATATCCTTGATCTTAAAAGTATATTAAAATCTATCGGCAGTCACTGACAGGAATCAATGGGTTAGGAAATTTTACTAAATCACTACTTGGATTGGCTACTCAAACAGGTTCACTAATTTTTTACGATTATTTTTTTTATATATATTAGGCTAGTTCAGAGATCGCTAACCTATATACTACCCAATTAATCGACATATTGGCTTTTCGTAATTGATCAATTTTTTTTAAAGAAGTGGGCACGTATAATGAGTCACTTAGTAAGTAATCATGAGATCAGAATGTGAATATTTATCGATCAAGGTGATTGTGATGAGCAGCTACGTAATCCTAGTTACTGACTACACCAATAAAAATAAGTACAGGTAAGAGTAGATTGGAAATCAAAGGCAACAATAATGTGGTCTGAGAGTGATAGTAATCTATGCAAACATTAACTAACAACTTCAATTTTATACAGTTGTCTCCATATTAAATTCTAATAATACACAGTGTTTACTGATCCTTCATTCTTTTTACAAATCATTATCCAGATATTAAGCGTTCGCGCGCAAGACTGAATGTACTAGGTTCGAATCCTGTGTCATGAATGCTCACGACGAAATGGCCGCTTATCGCTTCCAGGTTTGTAATCATAGTCTAACAATGATTCATTCAGCATTTCAATATTTATTCTCTAAATTCAGCTTTTTAATATCAATGAAATCATAACTATTTCAATTTCTTCACTGTTCACATCATAACAAATATAGTTTTATTGTACCATGCAGAAAGTTGAACATTCAAAAAGTGTATTCGTCATAAATTCCACAGTCTTTATAACCGACTAAAAATATTTTTAGATGAGAATAATTTTTAAAAGAAAATTTTTTTTAATTATTCTCGTTTATTTTTTTTTGTTCAAATTTTTCTTACTTGATGATTCAATAAGAAGCAGAAGAATAAAAAAGAAGTAAAAAATAGAATTTTTTTTTCAGAAAAAAAGTATTCTGTTTATTTTTTTTTAATTAAACAGAAAATGATTACAATTTTATAGTTGAAATACTATATAAACCTCTAATTGATGTAAAGCCAAGATTGGCCTGAAAAAAATTTTCTTTCAAAAAAAACTTATCACATAGAGTGCATAAAATCAGAAAAAAACATTTTATTTTTCTTTTAAATGAAAAGCTTTTAACACACTAGCACAATATAAAATATCAGATATGATATTTAACATTGAATGAGAAATTAGCAGCGTATATAAACAAAAAATTTAAAAAAAAGTGAAAGAAACTGCGAAAATTCTGAAAAATTAAATTTGTAAATAGGAAGTAGGATGATAAGAAAATTGAGGATATGTTACACATTAGATTAAAAGTATCTTTTCTTTTCTTATCATTTCATAGAATATTTATGTTTATCTTATAAAAAACCGCAGTTTACATTCAAGTTCTTGATTATTTAAAAAAACAGAAAAATAAAACCAAAACAAACATATTGTAATAATTCAAAAATTGATAAGTGTGTGTTTTGGAAAGCGAGCGAAATGAATAAATCAATGTGATGATTCGATTGGATCATTGATGTGCGCAAAAGATCGCTGTGATCTGGAAGGAAAACACACAAATAAAAACCACAGTATATTGTGTAATAATAGGTATGATAATCTAAGACAATATCATCTGTAAAAGCGCTGGATACCAAGTTTTTAGTGGGACATAAATGGATTAAAACATGACTATATAAGCTGTGCCCTGACTGGCTCATTTCCTATCCAATCAGCGCCTGGCCCATTCTTGGAGAGCAGGCTAGAAAATTACCGTGTTGTTAGCTGTACGCTAATTGGCTAAATCTAATCCGGCAAGTGCTAGTCGATCACTTGGATTAGATTCCAGAAGCTTCTGATGTAAAAACTATGAAGATACTAACGTTGTTCCTATTTCGCCTTCGCCTTGACTTCGGATTCCTACTTCCATTTAATCTTGCTATTTGGAATATAATCTTTTCCTGTTCCACCGAGTTTATTGTTGGCAGAGGAATACTAAGCAATAAGAATTAGCTGGGAATTATTAAGAGAGAGTTATAACACAAGTACTGCAGTTGCATATCCCTCAACGTGATTTAACGTCTTTATAGGTTCTCATTTGCCTACTTAGTGAAGAATAAATTTAGGGAAGTAATACATTTTTATGATTAGTTTCTTATCAGAACTTTACAACAACAACAACTGATCGAATGACGGCTGATAATAAACAGAATCATGAAAATCGATACCGATAAGGCAAAATTATATCATTTATTCTATCAGTCATGAGAGAGCCTGGTAGAGGTGTTCATTTGCCCTGTTGGCTTTTATCGATTTAGATCGTATGTGATGTAAACAAAGTATCCATTTAAAGTGTGAAGCTATGGAGCAGAAGTTTACTTGCTTCTACTTTTGAATGAATTTGAAACTTCAACTTTAGAAATAGAGGATATCTGTAGATTAATAGTATCCGATCTTAGGGGTCTTTGAAGTAATGCTTGAATATTTTGAGACCATCAAGGTAACAGTTTTGACGCTAGAAGTAGAGTATTAGGTAAGTGTGGCAAGTTAATTGACGAGGTAGTTAATGCTTACCAAAGATACTTAAATTATATATCGCTTATGCCGAGCCTACGATACTCATCGACGGACGGTCAGTGTAGCAGTAGGTTGTAAGAAAGCTAATGTTGGCCCAGCCAAGAGATGTTGTCATATAATGAAGGCACTTACTCTTCTGCTGAGCCATATTTGGCTGATAGCTGTAGACTAACTGGTTAGTGTCCGCATGATTACAGAAAGCAATATTTAGAGAGGCTCGGCAGCATATCTCCAAACTGTTCTCAATGGTGCAGATGCATTCAATTTTTATCTCTACTCTTTTTTTCACTTGTATTGGCATCATTAATAATGATACTACTTTTACTACTTTGTGATTCATTTTGATAATTTCATCTAGATGTGTTAATAGCATAAAGGATCTCGAACTAATGAACTAATATGCCAGGTTCTAATTTGTATCTGACTGACTGAACAGGAGGAGCAGATTAATTTTAAAAAATAACTCGCAAAATAGTCAGAGTAATTGCAGCATCATTGATAAAGAGGAAAGCTGGAAATTGTAAATATGGCTCGAAACGGCAGTGTAGAAAATTTTCTTTAGGAGTCTAGATCCAGAAGAAGATAGGTGCATCTACACTGTTGTGATAAATTTTAAGCCATGTCACCTAACATCTCCAACCACTAAACTCTGGCGTCTGCATCTACACATATGATTCAAACTAATAAATTAATCATTACACTAATTATTTATGATTGCTAACATAATAAAATGATAAATACAAGTTTAACATTTGTTGTTAATTTATCATTACTGAAGTAAATATCTGTGCAGAAACAACAGTACCTAAGCAGTAAGATATACTATTGTAATATGTTATGAAGTAATGTACTTAATGTAAATTACACAACATTACATTACACTGATAACCTTCACTTTTTCATTGTTGCCTTATTTAAAGAAACATATTATGTCACTAATTTAAAATAATGTTAAAATCATTTATTTATTTAATAAAGCATAATCAACCTAATGATATGAATATCGTTGTATTGCAGTGAACATCGATCCACATACAAACTAAATCTAATTCTAAATCTATATATGTACATTGTAAACATACTTTTTCACAAATATCACTTGTTTTTTGATTATGATCATTATGTTTGTGAAACAGCGGATGACAATGATGACAATGTATCCATAGAATAAGCATCATCAGATTCCATGACAGATTGCATCATAGTATTTGATTTGTCCGAAGAAATATTTTTTTGTACATGTGCATTGTCGGATGAATTCTTTCGAATCGCTTTACACATATCAAAGAGGAAAGTGAAAAAGAAAAAATGGGAAGTCACTTGATGAAAAGTTGAATTTATGTAATAAATAAATATTCTTAGTTATAAATGAAGACATTAATAAATAGAATGAAAATAAAAGAAAGTACTCATTATATATAGATTATTTGTATTTAGTGTAAACTATCATCCATGCTAACTGAGAGATGCAAGTGATGAGTGTTCATTGCTTTGTACTTTTTTGTATCATTGAATAAATAGTATTGTTTGGCTTTTGTATTACTGTTTTATAAATGTAAACTAAAATGTTAACGACAATGTATAACAGTGTACTCTATTATATCATGAATTAAAACAAACAAGGCGTGAAACTTTTGACTGGTTTTGTTTTGCTATGATATTATGACTTAATTATGATCAAATACTTGCAGTATGTTGATATATTAGTCAAATGAAACAATTAGTAAGATAAATGAACAATCTCATTGTTCATGTGAGTGCATCACCATAAATGATAATGGTAATGTGTGGATATGATTTATTTGAGAAAATGTCAAAATTTATGATCTAGTCATTGATAAAGAACAAAGATATCGACAATAGGATTCATTAACAGTGCACTTCCACAATCTCCACCTGCGGGAATCGAATCCACCGTCTTCGGTCTAGTACGCAAACGCCTAACATCTGAACTACCAAGCCGGTGTTCAATGGCATCAATATCTATCTTCAAAACTACCGTCCATTGCTTTCAGATTTTTAATGGTGGTCTTGTAGTGATGTATTCATGATTTCATTGAAACTGAACAATCTCCAATAAAAAATATCAATATAGATCAGAATGATTGATTTTTACAAAAATGAATCAACCATACGACGATCAAAATAATAATTAATAAATCTGTATTTATTAAAAATAATTTTTTAAAAATAAAATTTAATTAATATACGCATCAAAAGTTTAATTAGATCAGGCAATGTTTTAGTACAACAAAACATACCTGAACTTATTTTGCCTCGATTAACAGGAAGTTTTTTTGAAAAGTCAATATGCTCCGTATCGTTATTATTTGTAGTTTTTCTTAAAGAATTCAAAGCATTTGTCAATTCTGTAAGCATTTCTACACTGGGTGTTTGTAAATTATTTTTAAAATTAAGCTTTTTGACAGCTGTCGCTGTTGAATCTTCAGTAAATGCACAGATGATTTATATAAAATGAGAAAGATAATATGTTTATATATATATATATATAAAATCAAAACAAAGATTATTATGAATAATTCATATAATATATTTATAAGACAAAGTAGAAGTACACAGTGAACAGAAAAGCAACTTATGTATGGTAAATTAATCTACACTTTAATTGATTTTATGATTTCATGTGTGTAACTTAACAATCTTCACAACCCCGTAATGCAGTTACCTGTGCTCTTTAGTGACTAGTTCTGTGAGCAATCTCCTCTGAGTTCTAGAGGAAAGTCGTGACAAGTGAAGTTCAACCTGTTCGTGGGTAGACAGTAATTACCGAAGACAGTGTATGAGGTTGCGAAAGACCGTCAATTAACCGAAGTTAGACATTAACACCATTCGATACCTCCTCAGTGGTCCATAGGTTTGGCATTCGCGCGCAAGACCGAAGGTCCTAGGTTCGAATGTTACGAGGCGCAGGTGTCGTGGATGCTTACTGCTGACGAGTCCCATACCAAGACGGAACGGCCGTTCAGTGCTTCCAGGTTTCTAATGGAAGTCTAACTTGATTAATTCATGATTTCAAATCTTCGATTTATTGTTACTTGATATTTCTTTTATGCTGTTAACTAAGCATAGATTAAACTACTTCAGGTAAATACAAATGTGATGGATTATGCTATTTGTATTTTAAAGATCAGAATTTTAAGTTACAAAAATACGGTGGAAATTTTTAATAAGAATGTTTTACATTCAACTTAATAATAAGGTCAAATATTTATAATACGTTATTGAAGAATGAAGTAAATATGTACTTTTGTAGTGAACATTATATACTGCCAAATGGTTAAGACACAAACAATATACTCGGTATAAATCTTCAAACGAAATGACGATTAAGTGATACAAGCGTTCTTGTTGCAACCACTGACACACGCACACACCATACTATACGAATACTAGTGGTTTAAAGAAGATTACACGAGTCTGTAATAGTTATTTGAGATAAATCTACAGTTTTTATTTACTAGTCATTATTTTTACATCAAGCAGTCATTCAGTTTATTACTTGCTCTCAAGTAAATGTAGATCACAGATGTGAGCAATATCTTTTGAGAAGTATACGATTACAACTATAGACTAAAATAAACACAGTTATTTTCGGTAACACCTAAGCGTTATATCTGTTAGCTGTAATGATAACAAATACACAAGGTAAGAAAATTACAAGAGATATTACGGATAAATTAGATATAATGTGAATAAAACTTTAATTTTATATTACAAACTAAATTAGTGGCCTTAAATAGGACTCTAATTTGAAGGAACGATTGAATATTCTGTAAAATAAATCTTTCATCTAATTTCTGTACATTATTGTCAGGTGAACTCCGTTTGTGAGACGACTTAATTAGATGAATTTGTTTCATACATTCGCATAGGCAGGCAGGCAGGCATTAAAGAGAAACGTAATATTAAAAATTCCCATTGTGAAAATTAGAACAATACACAGCGAACAATATTGTTGTTTTCGATTAGATCGACATATCAGGCTTTACTCTAATATTTATATGAATATGTTAAACCAATCAAGGTAATTTGAGTCAATAATCACAATGAAATGAAAAAGATTACGTCACTTCATATAATAGGCAAAAGTACAAATGGATAGTAGAAAGACAGGTCTACTGATAGCAGTAAGAAAATTATAAAATGTGATAACTCAAGTTTTATCAGTAGTAGGTCATAGGTGGATGAATAGACTTCAAATAATCATAAAACATCAAAATCATTGCGCAATGAGCATATAAATATTCATGTTTATTAGAGTAAAACCTGATGACGATCTAATCGAAAACAATATTGTTCACTCATATGTGTTGTTCTAAGAAACGTAATAGCTAAGCGAATTTGAGGTGGCGAATACGAACGAGTGGATCAATTTGAACGCAATCAAGCATGACTAAGTGTATTTATAGTCAGACAAAAATAAGTAAGACATGTGATAAAGGGGGTAACCAATGAAGTCAAAATAACCAAGGTCATAAGAGAACAGATGATAGAGTCAAAGAACGTGTGAGTAACTCTAAAAGAATGGATTATTTAATTTGCTGAAAGGCTGAGACAAACCAAGTGGGTCTTACATATTAATATACACCATATTATACCATAAATATACAGCGATTATTAACAGGATCAATAATAAGTACATATATGACCTAAATATTATTGATTTGATGAAACCTAATACGAAATCAGTTGAAACGGGATGATAATCTGTCTCTCTCCCTCTCTTTCTCTATTAATCAGAAATGATTATAAAATCAACTATTTTTAGGGACTAAAGCCTTTATACTCTAAACATTCTTGAATGATAGTTTAGAAATAATTGACGAATATTTATCTATTAGTGTAAGCAGATTAGTCCTATATTAATAAAAGTTGAAACTGATATTATGATTTTATTTTTTGTGCACTTATTGGTAGTATCATTAAATTGACTAAGACACTTTTTGTTTTTCTGACAGACTTATTATTATCATTATTAATATCACTTGAGAGAAATGTTTAATACTAACTAGCCTGTTATAAGTAATATAGGACTTGTTAGAATATACATCACTTTAAATTATAATGAAATAAGCAACGTGAAGAATACGGAATTTGAAATAAATACAGTAAATCTAAAGTATAAAAAATAATATTCGAATGTAATTTCTTAAGAAAGGGTACATTTATTTATGTGGCAGACAAAAACACACATTATTTCATGGATCTGAACCAAGTAATCAAGATTTACAGTTACAATTCAGTTCAATAACTATTGATTTGATGCACTGATGCCTTGTCTTGATAATTTGGTTACCCTTAGCATTTTTCTATGTAAACTATTGTACAATCAACTGTTACATGTATTTTTTGCAGTGTAGTAGCTATTAGATACGTAACACATCACTAAACATTTTGACAATAGTCAAATAATAAAAAAATTAACCTTTTAGTTTAACATTCTAAATCTAGAGTACTTATATAACTTGACAGTCTCAATACAACTATCAAAATCCATTCAGTATTACGAAATTTTTTTAATAACAAATTGATCTGTATATGATGATCTTATTTCCCCCCCCCCCTCACCAAAAAAATAATAGTTCACTAGTTGATCTAACATTATCAAAATCATATATTAACAATGCTACAATAATTATAAAAGTGAATGTATTTTAAATCTAGCTTAAATCTATATTACAAGGATTAAAAAATGAAATTTCATTGAATGTAGTACATACATGATTAGGTCATGTATATTGTAACTCTTTCATGTCAACTATTCACGAGCTAATAAGAGACACAGAGAGAAGACTTTCCGTATAATTTAATATTCTTAGCAGAATCTAAAAAAAAAAATTGAGTAAAGTCGAAATTATAGTTAAGACAGGGTGACATGATTTCATTGGTTCTCATCAGCTGCTTACTATTATATATAGATATTTATTAAAGTGTAACACTGAGATATGATACAATGTGAAGCAATAACTTGGCACTTCATTGATACTGGGTCTTTCATTGACACTTTTGAATCCTTCAAGATTATCAGTGAACAAAAAAGAACACCTTGTCTTTTTTTTGGCTTGCGAAGCCGTAACAGTTAAAAAAATATTTAAATATTTTTGATATATTAAGAAAGAGATACCAGTACTAGTACTTGCAGTTATTATGGTTGTTATTGTTATAATTATGTACGCTAAAATTATCATTTTTTTTTTCATGGTTTTTTGTCCTCTTACTTAATTCTCTAAACACGGAAAAATGTGGTCTATATGTGAGTGCTCGGGTATCTAAATTATTCTAGTGCACAGTGCAAGTGAAACTAAGGAATATAATATTGGAGTGGTAGAGTTGGTAGTACAAGTAGCTTTCATCATAGTTAAATCAACTAAAAAAATGCAGAATATGATTCAAGAAGAATACATTCACACTGTAACAAAATAGTACAATTTTAACAGATGGACTTAAAATAAACGTTAACTGGAAATAAATGCCAATGATTTTATACAATGTCACTATTTCAAGTCACCTAATAGTGGTCAATATAGATTTTAACGATACAAAGTAGCTGACATTTCAAAATGTAGTAAAACTATTTGTAAAAGTAATATCCTAGTCAAAGTAGATAAAAAAGTGAATCTATTTTTTAAATCAAAACAAAAAAATAGAAAACCATTTACCTCGTTCACCATTTGTACAACTATTCATTCGAAGTAAGAATGAATCAGATTTACGAGAATCTTTATCTGCTGAATCAACTGAATAGGCACGCACAGCCGAATACGAAGGCAATGATGGAGGTGGAGGTGGAGGTGGTATCCGTGGCGTATTTGACGTCGATTTTTGGTACGTAGATGTCGGTGGTGGAGGTGGAGGCGAATGAGATCTTTTCTGTGAATCCTGAGAGTCAAATAAGAGAATGTATCAATTAGGCATAATATCATGTAAGTTAAGTTAGGAAATTAAATAGAAATTACAACATCGCATTGAATTGGTCGGATAATCCACTAACATTGAGTAATATTAACAAAAACAAGCAAAATTCACTCACCATAGAAAAACCAAGTAATAGAAATGCGTTTACCGAAGAAAAATCAGCGTTTTAATTCAGTTATTTAAAATAAAAATGCGTGGAAATGAATTTAAGGTCACTGTGACTGGAAGAAATACTCGCACAAACCACAGCGATTTCATAAAATTTGGGTAACAAATCATTCCATGTTTTTTAAACTAGCGCTAACTACTGTTAGCAGTCTATTCGAAAAATTCAAAATGAATAGTCAATCTGGAAAAATGTTACTTCACAATAAGACATAAGTTATTTGAACAAATTGGCCTCAGAATGTCTGGCTCAATAATTGAGTGTCTAGTAGACCGTCACTATTTGGACTAAGATTATCAAACGCACCCATATCTACTCTGCTCTTTTCTACATATTTCAATCAAATGTATCACAATTAATATTATGGTGTATTGATCAGATTAGGAATTCAGTCGGTCATAATGGATGTAGGAATATTGATACATTTTAAGTAAATTGGTGTAATCAATTACAGTAAAATAAACAAAACATGGCTAAAAACTTTTATTTGATCATTTTATGTTCATTGTGGAGAAGTGTGAATGCCAGCAGTCTATACAAACGCACCTCACTGTTTCTCGAATAAATACAATACACTCATTGCAATAATCATGTATATATTTTACAAAGGAGGTATATATATATAAACGAACCTTCTTTTTAGTGGGATTCACTTTGGTCGGTGTTTTACACCTTATTTCTTGAGAATGATTTTTGGCAGTTGAGAGTCTATTTGATTTGCGGTCTAGTGAGGAACAGAAATAATATCAATTACCAACAACTATAACACACACAAATAATTACGACATACAATAACATTCAATGCACAGAGACAAATATCAACAAAAATATAATTTTCATCGAGTATGAACATCTGATGGAAATCGAATGCTAATATTGATTTGTAATAAAGCTACAATAGATTCTCTGATGGTGAAGTGTTGTATTGCTCTTATGATAAAAATAGCATGTATAAGAAACGTTCACTTCATAAACTGTTCCAATCGATTAATGTGGTTTAGGAGTGGAAATTTTTACTATTCTATTACTGTAATTACTCAAATTCATATGAATGAAGAGTCACAAATAAGGGCACATTCATGACAAAATAAGACAAAATGATATCACTGAATATTATTGATGTCGGTACAAATTAATTGTAGTTTTCACAAATAACTTAGATTCGATATTTTTTAGGAAAGAATAAATGCCGTCTGCGCCGATGAGCCATGCTGTCTGACGTAGGAGCAGGCCGGTAAAATACCAGGGGTGGCCAAACCAAAATATGGAATGAATTCACAACTGCATTGAACTATGTTGAAATATTCAGTCTACCCATTTATGGTCTACGAGAAAATAGTAACATGGCTCATAGTCATTTGCACTGGCGTAGGTGCATCCATTATTTGCTTTCTCTCAAATCCTAATCTTTTGAATTCATCATTACCTCTTTTAAAATTTCTTTCGCCGGATTATACTACATAAATTATTTATTCTTCTATATTACTTCTGATACTACTGCCACGGGATTCGAACTGACAATTCGATTTTTCTTTGCCGATGTGGTATGGCAAATTCAGTTGATGTGTGTTCACACCAAGTTCTACGTTAGAGCCAAATGACTGACTGACTGACCACAGTCAATCTTCCCGTCAAAAATAGACCTTTGGAATATATACCATCAGATCAGTTTCCACTATCTAGGCTTAAGCTATCACTTGCAACTGTTTATCAAAAGTAGTAGGGTATATATTTATTTCTTGTACAAGTTTTCGTTGGATCAAGGGTGAATTGAAAGTCTGGGTGATACTTTTAAGTGTTCACTAAAGTATTTCTTTACTGCATTCCTGTAAGTTACATAAATGAGGATCATTACATTCTTTGCCTTCCAGGCAGTTTCAATATGCACTTATTTTGCCTCATATATATCATGCTTTACCATTATAGAATAGCCTGTAATTCAAAACCTTAATTTAGTTTCAGCGCTTATGTATGTCTTGATACGTCCATGTTACGTTTTAACGTAAAGATTACTTTAATAAAGGTTCTTAAAATCCAGTGACTTAACACACACTCTAGATTTCTCATCCGCGTTATTTCTATTTTACGGCAGATCGGATATTATCGTACACATTTTCAGAGATAACACCCACATCTCTCGGAATTTTACTGCATTTTATACGGCAGAGATGAACGATGGTTAACAGAAAAAATGTATTCTATCTAATATTTAGAGTAGTGTGATGGAAAAACATATTAATCTTTTTTAATGTAACTCATCGACCAAACACTGTTTGATGTACTCGGGTTTAATCTTTCTAAGTGAGGGTTATGATCATTTTGTGTAAATTGTTGAATGAATTTATAGAAATTAACAGGTTGAATAGTTAATCCTTATTCCAGTTTTTAAGTATGAGAAATAAACCTCTGTTACAAAATAAATACAACAAGAATTCGCTGACTCATAATTCAAAGAGAGTTAATATCAAGGGAGGTGGTTCGTGGAAAGTGTATTATTTTTGTAAATGAAATCACGAAGCTGTTTCACTGTTAGAAAGCTGAAAGCACTTCATGGCCGTTTCTTCCTACTGTCGGACTCATCAGTATAGCGCATGCACAACTCCCGAGACTGTGTATCGAACTCAGAACCTATAGCCTCGCGCCGAAACGCTTTACCTCCAAAACACCGAGTTGAGGTTAACATCCGTATCAGCGTTGGATACCAAAACAATGGTCTAGAGGTTAGGAGTTCGTGCACGAGAACCAATACCTAGGGTTTGATTCAAACGATCGGGAGTTGTGCATGTACACAGTTGAGATGTCCAAAGGTAGGAGGAAACGTATATTCGGTGATTCCAGGCCTCTAACAGTGATCCAGCTTAGATCAGTTCATGACTACAACTACAGGAATAATATGATCTCTACGAACCACCTTCATTAATAATAACAATGTCTTAACTGTCACCGTCTACAATCGACGGCGTTCGGACCACTCAGTACAACAAAAATGCCAGAGTATCTATTCATCAGACGCTGAAAAACTTCTGAAAAACTCAGTGTAATTTTATACAAACTGTGATCAACGAAAGCATGAGTAAAAAGTATAAAACTGAAAACACCGTGTATACCAATCCATTTAACGTCTGATGGTCCAGTTCCGTAGGAAAATGTACAAATGACTGTGGTATATCGACTGCTTACTTCAGCAAAGTTTTCGGAAAAAGAACAATATAATAAATTTACGAAAACTCAGAGTCGTTAACAGCCTTCCCGTAAGAGAAAATCTCCTCTCGTAAATAATAACACTACTCAAGTGATACCACGGGAATGATAATATTTGGAGTGCCTTGTGTTATTTATGAAGATAATATACAAACAAGAGTCAACTAGACAAAATAAGGGCTTGAAAAAGGAAAACTTCATTTGAGCAGTGGTACTTTCACATATTTAAATTATTTAAACAATCAGTATCGATCACAAAACCTATTGAAACATTCGTGTTTGTTATTTTAAAACAAACGTATACTGGTTTAATCACTAATATTTAATCTGCCAAAATAACTAAAACAGATATAAATTGTGCATGATAAGAAATTCATCAACCGGATGTGATTCCATAAACTGAAGAAACCTGATGAAATAGATCAATATTTCAATCTGTAAAGATGTAATTAGAATCAAATTTTCAAATAACAACACAATGAATTGATTACATTGTTTACCTTCTTGAAAAGATTCATCATCTGAACAACTACTCTTTTTCTGTGAGAGCAATCCAGATTTACGAGAATTTTTATGTGTTGATTTGAGCATGTTGACATTAGCAGTGGTTGAATCAAAAAGTGTAGGTGGTGGAGGTGGTGGTGGTGCAGCGATTGAATGACATCGTCTTTGTGATTCCTAAAACCGAAATAAGCAAAAGTATCAATTACTTTTACTATAACTACTACTACTACTACCACTACTACTATTACTACTACTACTACTACTACTACTACTACTACTACTACTACTACTACTACTACTACTACTACTACTACTACTACTACTACTACTACTACTACTACCACTATTGCTACTACTACTACTACTACTACTACTACCACTATTGCTACCACTACTACTACTACTACTACTACTACTACTACTACTACTACTACTACCACTATTACTACCACTACTACTACTACTACTACTACTACTACTACTACTACTACCACTATTACTACCACTACTACTACTACTACCACTACTACCACTACTGCTACTACTACTACTACTACTACTATTACTACTACTACTACTACTACTACTACTACTACTACCACTATGCTACCACTACTACTACTACTACTACTACTACTACTACTACTATTGTAGTGAACGAGAACACAGGTGGAACAACCGAATTGTATTTAAGGAAAATTACAGAGTTACTCAGTAAAATCGGAAAACCATATCTTAAATCATTGATTTCCAAAATATCAATCCATCATATCGAACTGGACTGTTTCTGTTGCGAAACATCAATCCATTGTCTGACGTTTCACTGTTCATGCGTTTCAGACAAATCAGATTGTGTTCCCGCTCTTCCTTTCTTGATATTCCACCATCTTCTGTTGCCAGACATTACGTTGACACTCACGTCATATACTACTTATAAGTTGCTCGCACAACACTATTACTACTAGTATTATTACTATTACTAATACTACTAAAACTATTACTACTACTACTACTACTACTACTACTACTACTACTACTATTACTACTACTACTACTACATTGACTACGTCCATCACTACTAGCAGAATATCATGTATTTACATTGTGCATACATTATCAAAAGTATCAAAACAATGATTTACGAAATTCACAATGAAAACAATTCATGAAACAGTCACTTATAAAATGAACTGCAAGTTTGCTAAAGACAAGTAAGTGCTTTGAATAAACTACTTAAAATTATTTTAATACATGGAATGAAGTCTAATGTTACTTTGATTGAAAAACCAATACTGGCATACATTGAAGAGTTTTCGCAAATTTTTAGTAAAAAGTCATTTTAAGGTTTTCGACCTAGAACTTATTATTATATAAGCCAGTTCATTGTGAAGAATGTGACTGTTGACAATGTGTAATTAAATAACTCATTAAATTAATTAAATTTGTTAGTTATATGAGTTTCATTCATTTTATGAAACTGAAAAATCATATTTCATACAATAAGTAAGGTATTGATTCATTTGTGAATGGTGTTTGATTCCAAAATTTCATGATTGTTCAGTGTAAGTGAACAAAAGACACAAGAGTCGATGTTTTAAGAGATTGTTTTGAATGTATTACTGAAGCCATATAATTATTTAATCAGGATATTTTTCTATTTTCTTGTATCGTACCATATCGATAACCGTTGAATGATAAATAGTAAATCTGCAAAAATGTTACTTCACAATAAGACATAAGTTATTTGAACAAATTGGCCTCAGAATGTCTGGCTCAATAATTGAGTGTCTAGTAGACCATCACTATTTGGACTAAGATTATCAAACGCACCCATATCTACTCTGCTCTTTTCTACATATTTCAATCAAATGTATCACAATTAATATTATGGTGTATTGATCAGATTAGGAATTCAGTCGGTCATAATGGATGTAGGAATATTGATACATTTTAAGTAAATTGGTGTAATCAATTACAGTAAAATAAACAAAACATGGCTAAAAACTTTTATTTGATCATTTTATGTTCAGTGTGGAGAAGTGCGACTGCCAACAATCTATACAAACGCACCTCACTGTTTCTCGAATAAATACAATACACTCATTGCAATAATCATGTATATATTTTACAAAGGAGGTATATATATATAAACGAACCTTCTTTTTAGTGGGATTCACTTTGGTCGGTGTTTTACACCTTATTTCTTGAGAATGATTTTTGGCAGTTGAGAGTCTATTTGATTTGAGGTCTAGTGAGGAACAGAAATAATATCAATTACCAACAACTATAACACACACAAATAATTACGACATACAATAACATTCAATGCACAGAGACAAATATCAACAAAAATATAATGCTCATTGAATATGGACATCTGAATATAATCAACCATTATTATTCTTTTATAATAAAGCTACAGTAGATCCTCAGTCTGTGAAGTTTTGTATTGCATTTATCACGAAATTTTCATGTATAACAAATATCCACATCAATAAGTGTTCTAATCAGTCGATGTGGTTAAGGAGTAGAAATTTCCACTGTACTTTCAGCCTTACTACAAGAAACTAGTCGCAAACAAGGCTTTCACATTTGACATTTATCTACTTATATTGGGATTAAGCAATAGCCACGGATGAGGACACTTTCAGTTCAGAAGACGTTCACCGCATTAACGGATATCAATGAAAATTTATATTTTTGGTACAAAGTAACTGTAACCTTAATATTAGAGATCAAGTAATAGACTTGCAGTATATAAATGTCTTTCTGAAGCATTTTTTTACGGACAGGTTTTTAGTTTGAAATCCATTTACCAGCGAATGTGTATGCAGTTTCTTGTTCTTCTAATTCCACTAGATTTACTCAACCATTTACCTTTGCATAGACTAATGAAGAGTTAGTCTATGAACAACAAATCAACTGTTAGTTTTGCTGCTTATTTAGTGCGTATAGAGGTGCTCTAGTTTAGTGCTGGTTTATTTTAGCACTTACTATTGCTGAAACTAGCTGGTTCAGATTGTCGATATTATGAGGTTGTTTCTATGCTTTCTCAGAAGTAGGGACGATTAGCGATAATGATAATCTTAAAATATTCATTCAAATCTCAATTTTAGTTTGTACCACAGTCAATGGAAATTGACTCAACGCCGGCCTCAACTAGACTAGATATCTATTAGCCACCAATGTAAAAGGCTCGATAGAAGACTGCCGCTCAATCTGCAGAACATTTTTAGATTGAAACCATGCTCCAGTGCTGGTGCGTATTTGTCTTCATCTTACTAGACGTGGAAAACACACAGGAAGTAAGCCCTTAGAGTTCTACTGAATGATAGAGATGCCAAGATCATGACTAGAAAAACCGTTAGGCAGCCATGTAAGTGATGCCTATTAGAGGCATTTTGGAATGATATCCGAAGAACTGGGGAAACAGCGGTGATAGCTACCAGTAAGTTATACCATAAGGTCAGAGGAAAGTCACGGATATCATAAGGATCTGCTGAACTGATGGATGCTCGAAAACATTTCCCATCTGTCTTTGTACATGATGAGGTCCGAAGTCGGCGTAAGTGCAGGCTAATAAGAAGCCTACTCAATGATCATGAACTGTGGTGGGTGGCGAAAGCAAAAGCGATGTAAAAGGCAGCGGCGTTAGGCAACAGTAGACAACTATTTAAACTTATCAAGAAAACAGGTATTAATAATTCGACTGAAACTGAGACTCTCTCGGAGAAGGATGGTTGTATCATTTATCCCGAACCTAAGAGATTGGATTGATGGGAAGAACACTTCAGGGATCAGTTAATTTGGTCTTCAGCCACACTTCGGTTGCCCACGATTTCCAGTCAACCTGCATGGCAAATCGACGTAAATCCTCTGACGCAGTATAAAGTTGAAAAAGCTACGAGAAATCTGAAGCGACGGAGAGCATCGTGTCCTGATAGGCTTACCCCTGAGAATTTTAAGGATGGTGGTTCCGTTTTAGCAGCTAGATTGACCGAGATCTTATGTAGAAACTGGGAGATCGGTGTAATCCCATCCCTGATTGTCCCAATTTATAAGAAAGGACAAAAGTTCTCTTGTGACAATCACAGAAGAACCAGTCTAACTAATATAGTGTCTAAAATGAAATCAATCAATATTTCAATCTGTAAAGATGTAATTAGAATCAAATTTTCAAATAACAACACAATGAATTGATTACATTGTTTACCTTCTTGAAAAGATTCATCGTCTGAACAACTACTCTTTTTCTGTGAGAGCAATTCAGATTTACGAGAATTTTTATGTGTTGATTTGAGCATGTTGACATTATCAGTAGTAGAATCGAAAAGTGTAGCTGGTGGAGGTGGTGGTGGTGCTGCGATTGAATGACCTCGTCTTTCTGATTCCTAAAACCGAAATAAGCAAAAGTATCAAATACTATTACTACTACTACTACTACTACTACTACTACCACTACTACTACTCCTGATACTACTAATACTATTAATACTACTACTAATACTACTATCACTACTACTATTACTACTACTACTACTACATTGACTACGTCCATCACTACTAGCAGAATATCATGTATTTACATTGTGCATACATTATCAAAAGTATCAAAACAATGATTTACGAAATTCACAATGAAAACAATTCATGAAACAGTCACTTATAAAATGAACTGCAAGTTTGCTAAAGACAAGTAAGTCCTTTGAATAAACTACTTAAAATTATTTTAATACATGGAATGAAGTCTAATGTTACTTTGATTGAAAAACCAATACTGGCATACATTGAAGAGTTTTCGCAAATTTTTAGTAAAAAGTCATTTTAAGGTTTTCGACCTAGAACTTATTATCATATAAGCCAGTTCATTGTGAAGAATGTGACTGTTGACAATGTGTAATTAAATAACTCATTAAATTAGTTAAATTTGTTAGTTATATGAGTTTCATTCAATTATGAAACTGAAAAATCATATTTCATAAAATAAATAAGGTATTGATTCATTTGTGAATGGTGTTTGATTCCAAAATTTCATGATTGTTCAGTGTAAGTGAACAAAAGACACAAGAGTCGATGTTTTAAGAGATTGTTTTGAATGTATTACTGAAGCCATATAATTATTTAATCATGATATTTTTCTATTTTCTTGTATCGTACCATATCGATAACCGTTGAATGATAAATAGTAAATCTGCAAAAATGTTACTTCACAATAAGACATAAGTTATTTGAACAAATTGGCCTCAGAATGTCTGGCTCAATAATTGAGTGTCTAGTAGACCATCACTATTTGGACTAAGATTATCAAACGCACCCATATCTACTCTGCTCTTTTCTACATATTTCAATCAAATGTATCACAATTAATATTATGGTGTATTGATCAGATTAGGAATTCAGTCGGTCATAATGGATGTAGGAATATTGATACATTTTAAGTAACTGGGTGTGATCACGTTCAGTAAATAAAGTACTGTACAAATTACTTTCTTTTGACAAGCAGAGTGAACCGCTTTCTTTTAAGTCTTAAATTTACCGAAGTTTTTCATTTTTTGTGTCTGAAACTTTAAGAAAATCTATTTCCATTCTGATTATTTTCTTAACATCACCTGATGCTGCTGTTATTTTGTTTGCGCCAAATTATTTATTCTATTAGCAGCCGTTTCAGCTTATCGATGTCAAGGTCATTACTTTTTTAATGCTGGTTGATAATGCAATGCTGTTGCCAAACGAACCAAGATATGACTACGTTGCTAATTAATTAATCACGATTGTAATTTAATCGCAATGTTTTAAGCTTATATGTTTGAGTTCGAAATAATGTATTGACAAATGCCGAATACAGTTTTATTCACATCACTTCTAAAGAAAATAAAAAAACTCTTCTTGAAAAGAGAAATATATTTTGGTATGTTAAAATTAATTTGAAAGAATACCCATACACAGACCTTTTTTCCATATGAACTGACCATGGTAGATGATTTACGCTTTTGAATATCTCCTTTATCTTTCACAATGCTTGTAACTGATTGTTTACTATTCAATAATTCATGTGAATAACAAATATCAACTGAGTGTTTATTTGTTTGAGGTTCTAGTAAATTGTAGGAAATAATACAATGAATATGAATCATTTCAATATAATTTGTCAACAACAAATTGTACAGTCTGAAGCAATACTCTTGAGAACAATGAACTAACCGAATACCTCGATGAAAAACCAGTAAAATTAAATGTATATTGTTGTAGTTGAATTTCACAAGGGAAATAAGCAATTGTATTTTAATTATGGAAAAATAACTGATATGCTCGTCAGTTGATACACTTTTAAATATTACGAGTTCACTTAAGTCGGTAAACGAAAGCGAAGACAAATGATCCAGTGACACGATAGGTTACTCTATAACCTGAGCCTCCCAAGGCCTCACTAAGTAGTGGTAGAAGTCTTGACAAGAAGTAGACAGTGTATCCCACAATCATCCACAATATATTAGGTTGATAAACATACAAATCAAGTTTATTTATGCATGGTAGAAACGTTCTTGTAAGAGCTACAAAAACGGCGTACTAAAATAATACATCAACCAATAACAGTCAAGGATTTTCCGGTTGGAAAATGTAATCTCAAGGTCAAGTGATCAACCACAAAATTCAAATTTAGGACTTTTATCAAGTGAGTTCTGGGGATCTAACATCCCCAATAATTATATTTCTATAATTATCTTGTAAAATTCTAAATGGTTAAAGTCTCAACTATTGAATAAGTCCGATAGATCATTTGACGGATTTTAAGCATACAAGAATTACATAAACAATTAATGAATAGTCATTAGATTTTCCAACAAATTAACTCAGCAAAAATAAAGTAAATTGCCTTTCCCAAAGAATTATTCACTTTATTTTTTCTTTACTTATTTAATTATCTGATTTGTTTTTCCCCTAATGTATAAGAAGCAATTAATAAGCCTATATAAATGTTAAACCATAAGCACAGTCCAGTTGTCTTATGTTTCTAATTACAAAAGAAATATAAAATTGACCAGTCGAAAAATAATCCAGTGAGACTACTACAACTTACCAACAGCTGATTGTCGTTTACCATCCAACCTTTTAAAATCACCTTTCTGAGTTGGTAGTGTTGCATAACTAGACGGTCGTATCTTGTCAGGTATATCGGCAAAAGGAGATAGATGTCGATGAATTATTTGTGGTTGACCAGGTATACTTGGCGCTGGACCCTTTTTATACTTAATTTGAATTGCGGAAAAAAATAGTAAAGCAGAGATCACAAAATTAACTAGGCTGCTATTCATCTTATTGACAATCGTTTAAGTATTTTATACATGAAGTTTAAAATTCAACCATTTTGATTAGGTAGCTTTTATTAAATATTCATGCAGAAACTACATAACGGACTATTTGCTTACAACCAAACCAAATTGATAAGCAACTTAATCACAAACCGAAATTCCTTCAAAGCCTGAATGATAATGACTCACAATTCGATGTAAAATGATAAGTGTGGTCTGTTGCAATGTTCAAAATAAGGACAGATGTCTAATGATCACCAGAATTCTTTAGGTTATTTACATGAGTCTGTGATTAAAATGTGACAAATGTGAACAAGCACCAAAATAAACTACTATTATTATCACTATTAATTCTTTCGTTTTATATAATTCATTTACATTATTTTAAAAATGATTCTGCCAACTATAACTCATAATTAATGATAATAATTATCTCTATTCTTTAACCAAAAGGCACACAAATGTGAAGATGATTGATTGAGATGACCTTATATGGTGTATACTAAATTAACTATATTTCCGCGTGTCACACTCAATTCCACTTCAACTAATAACAGATTTTTATATGCCTTACATGAGCTATTATAAAATAATATTTTAATTTATCACAAATATGTTATTTCTATAATGATCTACAGAGTGATTTGGCTTATTACAGAGTATTCTGACCGAAAATATCAATAGTCTAGTAATTCTCATAAAACATATTAGCTCATATCCACCGATATAACGATAACGTTAACCAAAGATTATAATTAAAACGCAGTGATTTTGTAGGCTGAAAAATTTATCTGGTGTTTACAAATCAATGTGTCAGTAACTAAAATGATCTAGAATCAATGACTTTCATAGATGATTACATGACATTAGATTTTTTCATCCTCCTACAATACTAACTAGGGTTTCACATAGCTAGCTGGTAGTAAGTGACCTAAGCTACAAAAAACAATTCACACGTTGAAAATTAAAAACTCACCAAATGACAGACCAACATAAATTCTTAACTTGTGAATGGAATACACATCAATGATGTTTTAAAAATATCTATGGATGGTATCTTATGAACTTCAGTTACCATTATATACCACGTTTTTAAAAAATAACGATATAATACGAACTGATAAACACTAAACTTGCTCTTTGATAAGCCTATGATATTGTCAATGTTAGCAGTAGCTAATGTATGCCTGCTGAAATTTTCTCATCTACTAATTCGATATGGTTGATGAAATTTATCATGTAACTGATGAGGTTATTTTAAAGAATGGTTACACAAAATTCTTACTTCCATTTCTGAGTTGGATCGTGGATAGTCATCAGCTTGAACATTTCCAGCTGACTTTGAGTTTTTGCTAGATTTACCTTTCCCTCGTTCTGTAAGATAAAAGACATGAAAAATTATGAAGAACAGATACACTTAGTTATCAATATGGTGAGTAATTTTCAAGTATTGAAAATTTCTAGTAACCGTAAATCTACATAGTTGGAAAGATTACACTTTTTGCTTAAAGGGAACCAAACATTATTACATTATAACTTCAACTTTGTGGAGAATTTTTGCAGTCTTCACAATTTGTAGTCGTCGGTGAGTGGTTCTTTTTCATCTAAAACATCACCGGAACTACCTACTTATGTGTTCCGATATATAAATGACATGTTTAGACTATTGAAATACAACAGTAAGCAAATTACGTAACTAAGCAACAACCAAACATGCAACAGTTGCTAATGAATTTAAATAGGCTTAACATCAGATAGCTTCCCCAACTGTTTACAAATAAGCTAATCAGCAGTCTTCAAAGAATGATTCAGTTAATGGAGCTTTACAGTTCAAATATCCCGATCTCATTTGCTGTTTTTTGAACTGTTTCATATATATTTAGCTTTACATTAAGACATGTATTTTGTTTACTGTTCTCATTTAAATAATTTACTTTTACATTATTTGGCATTTCGTAGTCTTATAAACACATCGGTTATTCTTTGTCAATAAGCTAAGAGTTAAATTTTCATTCTTTGATTGGAGTTGTTGCTGTTTAACTATGGATTTCATACTTAAACTTCCATTGATTTTTATGTTATTTTCCATACAAGGCTTGTTGTTTCGTTTTTTTCTTTCAATGTACTAAATGCTTTAAAGTATTGTAATAATTACATGGTCTCAAGTAGCGGGATTGATTTGTTTAACACTTACTATAATCAAACTACGAAAATCCCTCTCGATCCAAGTATGTAAATGAAGTTTTTCTCTTTTTAAGCATGAACCGAATTCTACTTGTTCATGACTGATCTTAGAACATTGTCACCATAGAGGTGATCAAAAGGCTAGTGTTTCGGAACTAAGAAAAAGGCAAATGATCGACGAACTACCTATTAAACCTGAAATCTAGTTAGTTCTGTAGTCATAAAACTATGCTTCAAACCCAAAGTATTACAGAACCAAGTATTTCTGTCGTCAGAATACTATTTTTAAGCTATGAAGATATAGGGAAGTAAAAGCCAAGTTAAACAACCCTTGGTTATCGTACCCAGTGACTCTGAGTGGAAGGTTATCGAAAGCTATTGGTTTTCCAATCTTGTTACATCCATATCTGTGTACTCAAAATCCAGTGATAAAGGAATAACTGAACCACTACAAAGAAACCAAAACCAAACCACTAACCTTTAAGTTCAATTTGCTCCGCATTCTGGCGTGAAAAGGTACCTTTTGGGTCTAAAACTGTTCCCGTTTTGGGATTAGTAATGGAGTAATTATTTAGATCAATACGAAACTCTGTAGACACCTAAAATGAAGACAAAGCGAAATAGCCAGCGTAAAAGTATGCCTAAGCAAATTGAGCACATCAGACACTGAATAGCAACCAGAAATTCGGTCTGTTTTACTCTATGGTTGAGAAACATGGTCTATAAAGGTTGAAAAAATGTATCTGGTGCACATATTGGACTGTAAGAATTCGCGAAACATTGCTTGATAATCATGGAACAATCGGGTGATCAGTGTTGAGGTTAAGTGAATGGTGTTAGAGGAAGATACTTAATCAGCTGGTAAAACTGTAAGCCATAATCGACTGACGTGGCTGGATTCATTAAACATCTTTAATCACAAACTACCTTTATGTCCAGTGGTAAGTGGTATTGAAGCCAGTTGGAAGAAACGGAAGGAGGCTAAACCAGTGCGTGAAACCAGTTTATGAAAACACGGGTGAAGAATAAAAATCAATAACAACGAAAAGAGGTTGCAGATGTCGGTCGCTGTGAGTCGAAATTGCGGTAAAGGTGTATATTCATTTGCTCTTTATCTTAGATCTTAGAACTGAATATCACTCTGTCATTATGTTTCTGTTTTATTCTAGTCATATTCCTAGTGATTAGTCTTCTTCATTCTCATTTTTCTGCTGAACAACTTTGCAATAACATTTCATTGCGTCGAGCTGCAGTTCGGATTGATTTACAATTGTACCAGACTGTAAATTGTAACCAAATTGAATCGAATGCCCAACCAATGACTACTTTGACAAGTGAGGTTGTTGGATGTAGGGGTAGGCTGGAAGAAAACTGGAAGCAGCAAAATCAAAATACACCATAAATCCATGTAAGTAGATGTAGACTACCTGGTTGGGGTTCATGAGACAATAGTAATCGGTGGTTATAGACTTTGAATGACATGGCTAAACATAGTTTGCAATGACGCACGTGCATATTATTTGTGTTCTCTCAAATTCTAGATTTCCGAATTCTTCATTACCTACATCTTTTTTTCTCAGATTCATCTTGCTGGATTATAATTTGAATTTTTCGAACCCTAATCTTCTTCATTAACTCTGATGCTGCTTCTGCTTTTATTAGAATAAGATTTTAGTTGACGATTCGATATAGCGGTGCTAATGCGGGATGGCAACTTGAATTGGTGTATGTATGTACCAAGTTCTACGTTATAACTAAATGACTGGGAAACTTCGAAAAATTGCTGCAAAATCCTATTCACGAGTAAAAAGAGCATATCCAGTGCATATGGTATCTGTTAAAACCTGCAATAAGTGCAAGCATTATACCAGATGTTGACAAGGATTTTATTTTTGAGAAACTAGTAATTTCAACGAGGAGATGGACATACCGCCAGTCGCTCTAGACCTTTAATTTAAAACTATCATCTGATTGCAAAATACTCCTAAGGACAAGTATAGATGTATTTTAACTATTCATAGATGTGAAATAGACGAGAACCACATTTCCGCTAAAAAATCATTAGCCTTAGTAACTGCCCAATGTTCGTAAGAGAAAAACATAGGTACGAGATGAAACAAATGCGTATGCGCTCAGATTCCAAAAGAACAAAGGCTTAGAAACAGTGATACTAACAGCGATGAGTAACTTAAACAATGAAGTTGACAGAAATAAAAGTACAGAATGAACGTATGGAGCTAACATTCAGTAAGCTTATGCATCATTGCATCAAAGTATTATGCAAAATTTAGTCAAAAAATGCTTACCTTTTGAAGAACTTTATTAATAGGTTGATCTAACTGACCACGGACGACAACCATGCGATTTCCCGGTAAGTGTACAATAATCCGATGTCCCAGCTGATTTTGAAAATACACGTAAAAAAGCAGCAGTTTTGGCTTATCAAATAACGCATATTTACAGAAATGTAGATTGAATGTCTATTCTTTTATAATACAGATGTAACAGACTTACTGTCGTAAAAACCAGTTTGAGGCAAACAACTGGTAATGAATAAAACACAAGTATGTGAGAATAAAAAATTACGAAATATAAGTTGTTCAGAAATTAAATGGGTAAGACTTAGAGATTATGATATAAAGCAAAGAGACGAGTATTGCATGATAAATAACCAATCAAATGTGGTAGTTATTTATAGTCTGCAAATAAACACTAGTGAAAATTAATCATCATTAATCAACATTAACGGTTTAATTTTTGGTTACAAAATCATTTGATTTATAGTGAGGCTAATGTGTATTGACTTTGTTTTATAACATGGTTATAATTACTTTCTCCTGTGTCTACTCACTTCACTTCAATATCTTAAGCCTAACCACTGAAACTAAATACGAAATCATTGGTAACTCAGTAAATGGAATAAAAGTATTTATAACTTACTTCGTCCAAAAATTCTTTACCCGTTTTTATAGGTGTTATAGGATATTTGAACTTCCTGTCAAGAAATGGATACTGATACAGTTTTGCAGATCTTTTGAAACAGCATTTAGCCATGAGCCGAACCATAGGCGGTAGATTTCCTTGGGTTGTAACAGGATTGATATACGAACCAAGCGTACTACTAGGTGCAGCACAAAGCCAACAAATGCCCCGAGCTCCAGAACGACTGTCGCTTGGGACTAAAAACGTATAGTCCGTTGCTTTTAAACCAAGTAATGAACAAAGTTGGAGTAGGAAATCAGAACATTGCATGTTGAAATTCACACCGGAAACGCGGATAAATTCATCGGTAGCGATACATTCGACATCAACATACGAGCTATCGTCACCACGATTCATATTATAAAATGACGTAGGAACATAACTTGTATTACTGCGAGTAGTGCTGGTGGAATCTGAACGACTTTTTGAGGGCTTTGAATTGACGAGGTTTTTGAGCCTTTCAATTGCATCCGCTAAGCCCATATCTGTGGTTAGTATGAAATATTAAATTTTGAGCAGTTTATTTCTCGCGCAAATTTCCAACCAAGGATTTAAGAGTCGTCGATGGATTGATCTAATTGATTGGTTCAATGATTTCTTCTAGATGTAAGTTTACGCGTAACAATTTAGGTCAGTTGCTACCTGAAATTAAATTTAACGAAGCAACACATGCTAAAGATTTGAAACATGGTATTATTACAGACTTTGACTTCGAAATTTGGACAGAGTTAAATGTATTTCAGATTACTAAAATAACCAGCTTATGTTCCCAACGAGAGATAATTTCAGCAGGGCCGTTGTGCGTCCTTCAACGGATGTAGCTTCATCTAGATTTAAATACTAACTCAAATGTTAATAGCTACGAGAGTACAGAATGGGCCTTTTTATTATCTGATTACTGATGATATTAAGATTAAATATTCCCTAATATTTCATTTTCATTCATTTTTTCCTCATATTAAAAAAATATATCAATTGTGTTGTTTCTCACCTCGTATTTGACTGAAAATAGCTTGAAAAAACTTTGAGGCAGTCAGGAAAAAAGAAAACCCTATGACCTTGCGTTTTGTAATTAATCTAGGGCGAAATAATATACAACAATCGAAATCCCGCCTTCGTTTCCTATTGGACGGTACAAATATTGCTTCAGAGAAACAAGCTTCAATGGACAGACATTTCGGGAAAAGAAAAAGGTAATATATATTCGTTCATTTATCTCGGAAAATTAATTCTTTGAAGTAGTTTAACTTTACAGGTAGGTACTGCCTTCTTAACGTGCCGGATATTACACTGAGTCATATTCAGAATCATATTTGTGTTGAGGATAGAAGGCCTGCGGCTAATGTTAGTCTCTTTATGGTGAGCGTCTGTTAATATCCCGGACTGTTGGAACGATCCATCGGAAACTGCTAATATCAAGTCTTCTGGTAACTTGCTCTAATTTTGATTAGCTGGTGCGAAAACTAGTATTCAAGCAGTATTTTGTTCCTTCTCGACTTTTGTACTCTTCTGCTTTACGTTCTTAGTTGTCTCCATATATAATAAAGCTGCTCTGAAGGACTCTTTCCACAGTAGCATTCTTCACTACCCTATGATCTAAGGTTATTACAAACTTTCTTATTAATTACTCATCAGAAAGACCTGGACTATTCGATCTAGTGAGATATCTCCTATTCTAGGAGATAAGTTGACCTGCTTAGAAGTTTAGGAAGCTTATCTTTGTGTCTACTAGTCATATGAAGACCCAAATTTTCATGTCCGAGTTAGCTAGTTCTCTAGTGTAATCAGTTCAATGATGACTCAAACGCAAGCTAAAATGAACTTAACATGCCTAATCAAGGTGTACATGTAAAAGGGTTTAACATAAATAAAACCCGTCATATCATAAGAGTTGGAGTGTGAAGCATACTAAATTGAATCATTGTTGATAATTATGGAACAGTAGAACATGAAGATATCGATGTAGCACCTTTCTAATGGAGATCACAATATCCAGTCGACGCAGGGATGATGAATGAAGGAGATCGACGGTAAGTTTGAAGAACTGTTGGAACGTTGAGAGATGATTAGTTTGCAAGCTCTTGATTAATCTGTATGATTTGTTTTTCAAGGTCAAATGAGATAAGACAAAAGCCCGTCAACTTTTTATAACTTGCATTATCTAAAAATATTACACTCACGGGGTACACTAGTGTACCAGTCTAACTGAGTGCATTAGTGCACCCTACATTTTCACCCATTACCCGATTTATTGCGAAAATAGATAAGTTATAGCTTTACACTCTTGATTATCACTCATAAAATAAATGTACATGACACAATTTTTTATTCACTCACTCACTTCTGATGTACTTGTTAATGTTGTGTTTTCGTGGATTGTATTGGTTGTTAACGGTACTCATAATCCTAAAATTCGGTGTTCTGGCAGCTGAGTATTCTCAAATAAATACACAGTGATAACAAGAGGGTTCACATATTTTAGGCGTGTAGGTAATTGGATATTATAAACTTTGGTAGAAATAAGAGGAAGTGAACTCTTTAAATGATCTAGACTTGTGCAAAATGCGTTACCCAAGCTACCTACTTGGGGTCTGGTGTAGGTTCACGACGATGCCCCTTAAGTTAGGGTATATCCACTAGCATTAGTGGGGTCACAGTCAATGTCATCGTACTGCAGAATTATTTATTTAGATGATTTACAAGGCAGTCCACTTAAAATATCCAACCTAAGTCCTAGACATAATCGAAAGGATAATGCAAGTTGGTGCATATATAAAATATCGATTTATAACAAAACAGAAGCTGGATTCAGTCGCCAAAATGTAATGGGATAACATTCAGTTCAAATGTTATTTAGTTATGAAATGATATACATTTACAACAACTTGTTTACTAACCTTGTTGAAAACAACAGTTATTAGGATGTCTTCACATCCGAATGAATCATGCTTACTAATTAACTGTCCATACAACCAGTTATCAAAATCCAAACCATCATCAGTTGTAAGGTGGAAATAATCCACATTGGTCAGTTTTATAATCGTAGATTCTTTCATGGGATACATGGATGCGAGATACGTGATGAAATGCTTAATAAACAGGCAAAGAGGTGTGGCAAGATCCTGATTGTTGACAAAAATGACCACTGAAGCTATTGATGTTCGCCAGGTCGTACTAGGTTGTCATAAGCTGACATGTGCAGGTAAATTTTGCTTTAGCATAGGTGGAGTAGGTGAAAAAATAATTTCCCATGTTATCGAGTATATCCTGGAGTTTTCACTTACCGTCTTTGTGTTAAGATCTTCTACATCGCAAACATTTGCGTGTTTCAACCAATTCAGCCCATGCTTTATGGCGAGCTACTGTCGTTTTTACTGAGATTAATGACTTATTTGTGAGACAGGTGAATGAAGTTTTAAATAGCTCCTTGAGTGAACTAAATATGGGAGATTTATGATTATAGTGTTAAAGAAGTTCATGTAGACGTATCATTTTAACCAAAATGGTCAACTTTGTCGATCTACAACGACCATGAAATCTTTCAGTCATTGAAAAGACGATAAAATATCTTCTGCGTTAGAATGATTGTTCGCACGTAAACAAATCAGACCACAATTTATTAGCTTGTACAAAATAAATGCAGTTTTTAGAGGTAACGAATACGACTCTATTTTTCATGAACGATTGGATAGATAATCAGGCAGATATTCTCTTTTATTCTCGTGTACCGTTAATGTGACGTCGGTAATGATCAAGCAACTTATATAATCTTAATTGTTAACTTGATCAGATATGCTATTCGGCGAACACATAACCAATTTCTAGAATGAATTTGAATACGAATGAAATATATTTTCAGGAAATTAACGAAGTTACTCAAGGTTTAGCCGTACAAGTAAACTATTATAAACCGCTTTGAAAGTGAAAATTAAAGTGTACTATTTTTTTCTGAGGAAACCTCATTAATTGACTAGAAAATTTCAATACAAGATTGACTGTGTTGAATATCTTATGAACTATCTTTGCTAATCTACCGTGAGCGATTTAGCCAGTCACCTTGGTCTTAATTATTAGTTAAGGTTAGTCTGAAATCAAACCAGGAAAGTGGGAGAATTTAAGAGCAGCTAGAGCAAAGTATGCCAGAAACACAAACAGATGGTTGCGCGCACAAATGTGTTATAAACAAAAAGTACACTTAAACGATCACTGGTAGAATTGGTTATAATAATGTATGTTTCTATCAAACGAATAGCTTTCTGTTTGTAAAAGTAGTCCACTAAAGAAGTACATCCCTAGAAATGCTTTACGCTTTAGATAAGTAGCAGTTTCGTTCGAAGGGAATGATCGACTAATGTGTGAATGTGATGCGGAAGGGTTGACGAACAGGAAGTGATCCATGAAGCTTCAGTTGTCGCCGACTGTCTTTTACAGAGAACGTTCTAGCGGTAATGTGCCATGTTTGCTGCCACAGAGGCGTGGCTGATATTCAGAATCTGAAGAGGGCATTCGTTGCGGTTAGGACCAGCAAACGCTGCAGATATAGTACGGAAGGTACCAGAAACGACCATAACGATTAAGTTCGTAACCATACGTCTGCCAGATATATTCCAGACCAAATCATCGACTGAGTACACTGATAAAAGCGTGGGTGATCAGGCCAGCTTTTGCCAAGACTGACTGAAGTCGACAGTACCAACAGGACGATGGTCGAAGACGTGTGCTCAGCATAAAATAATAAAAGAAAGAGATAGGTGTAGCATTCATGTAGTATGAGACGAATATTCCTAAACCGCATCCGTTGTTGATTGAGTGTACAGGTAGGCATGCGCGGTGACTGAAACGCGAATCAGTAGTCTCGTGTGTACCTCATGAACCCGCAGACTCATCCGGAGCCAAGGGTGGCGTGGTCTGATAATATGGATGATTTGAGACCAGAGTCTCACCCTTAAATTGAGCTGATGACACGCGCTGTTGACTGAGACATGAGAATGAGGTCTGTGATGAACCTAGCGTGGGATCTGAGGGAGAAATAAGGATCCGACCGCATAGTTGGACGGGTCTAGCATCGAATCTCTGTTTACCAGGTAGGGCACTGCCATTGATGTGTGCTGCTTCGAGACGACCAATGCTGACTGTGTCCATCAACCTTGAAGGTCTTTTCGTGACGAGAGATCAGGTGAAAAGATCCTTCCTAAGGCTGTTGCAAAGGTTTGTGTACCGAATCCATTTGTATGAAAACATATGGTCAGGTAAATAACCCTAGAAGGAGAGTGACCTGTTGATGTTATATTCGACTTCATACCGGAAGCAGTGTTCTCATATGCTCAGACAGTCGTTGGACGTTATCTAATATACATGAAATCGCTGCTCCGGGCATATGAAATATCGTGCCGTTAACTCATGAGTGCTTTCAATTGAAGAATGAGATATTGTAAAATACTTTCGTTCATAGATCAAGCTTTATCTGAACCCCCAATTTCCGTAGACATAACAAGTTTATCAGTCATATATAATGTCAAATGATTTTCTTTACTACGTGATTTACTGCATTCTTATCTAGACACATAAAATTGAGCAAATACAACATGAACTTAGAACAGCATTTACTGTTGACTTATCGCAAAGAGATAGATAGGATCGAAATATCATAAATTTAACTTACATTTGTTTCCTTACTGTGTGGTGGAAGATTTTAATGCTTAAATTAGGTAGGACCTTGAGTTTCGATTGTTCCAGAAACGAAGCGATTTCAGTTACTATACCACCTCTAATCTCATGAACCAAAGGGAAAATAAGGGACTGAGGTATCCGGTAAGTATCCCTAATAAACACTACCAACACTGACATTATGTGAGTCTTTACTTGTTTATTTTTTGTCAGTTTTGACGTTGATTGATTTATATTTCTTTATTCACTGTCTTAAGCGTACTACATTCTAGTGCGCTTTTAACTACCAGCTCATTCTTGTTATCTTGTATTTATTTTTATCTAAAGACCTAAAATTTATTCTGCGCTAATATACAACACTGTTACTATGTTTTACCGATGGTTCAACAGCTTTAACAGTCGGATATGCTTGTGGATGGTACAGGAAGAATTAGTCCTTGTAGTATAACCACTTTGAAAAAGCCTTACATAGAAAATGGAGGGAGGGTGGAGTTACTAACCATCAAAAATTGATTGTGAAGGCAATGATTTTAGTACGCCTATGTTTGTGAGGTAGAATACCTTGTTTATCACAGGTTGATTGATGATGAGGTTACTATTCAGTGATACTGATCTTCCATGTTTACGACCTTATATTGGTTTCAACTTTGAGCCAAAACCACTCATAACATGCTAATCCAGACTCTCAAGCTGAAATCAAAACGCTGTTATTCAATGATAATAACAAAAAGCAGTAGTAATGAAGTTACGTAAGTTTTTGAACAATTTACGTTGCTTTCATTTTTCCGAAATTATCAAGCACTAATCCCACTTCAGCCTTTCTTCCATTAGTTCAAACCATTGCAATTCACTTATTGACTGCGATTCATCTGTACTTGCAATGTTAGTATCATTTTAGTGAAAGTATAAGAATAAATGTACATTCGCCTAGGTAACAATTTTTGTGAGGTTCCATTTTATTATTGCAACTGCAAATTAATTATACAGTTCTAACATAAACGCCTATTTATTAACTAGTCTGTGTATCTGCATGAATACTGTTTTGTGCAATTTCACAGAAATCATCCTTTTGATAAGCTCGTCTGAGTAATATTTGATTAGTAAATTATTAATCATACCTGAAAAAATGGTATAAACCGTCTGTCAGAAATAAATTATTATTATTACTAGTTGACCGAATAAAGACTGTAGATTCTGCTCACCGTACTTTCTTACTTCTGAATGAATAAAGGGGGTAGACGAAGGAATACGTCTTGGACCAACAGAATTCAAGACAATCTCGGACATAGCTCAAAGTAATGGTCGTCAATCGAAGCGTATTATCAAGCAGGTTGAGAACGTTTGATCTACGGGCAAAAAACATATGCTCGGGGTGGATAGTTATTATCCGTATACAAATTGGTTATCGATTCAAAAGACTCAAAGACCATAACAATGGATTTCCGGAACTTGAGCAGGCATTGTATGAATGGCATACACGAAAATTTGTGTAGGTTCTAGAACCCAATATTGTGAAACTATTGACCGATACAGAATGTGAATTGGTTTGAATGTTGTGGATAAAGCCATAGATAGACTATAACATCATCAATGGTACATTTAGTATTTCTAGTTTTCATTGTCTTTTTTAAAAAAATGTATAAGTGTTTGTTAGGCTATTCATCAAATATCATTTTGTAAGAGTAAATTTTACTGGTCGATCCTAATTGGTCAATATTATGATCGTCCTAGCCATCAATGTCACGTACTTCAAAGCTGTCTCTTATTGAACGTCCTGACTATCACTTCGTATGTTTTTTTCTATTGGTCACCTTAACTGTCAATGTCACAGATTTCGATGCTGTTCCTATTCGACCTAAATGTATAAATTCGCTTTATCTGTAACGTTTTATGACCCGGACACTTAGTCCGGGATCCTGATTCTTTTCTGGACTCGGACTTTCTGGATGTTTGTAGAATACAGGTTCTACTTCATGTCAAGTCTTCTTATTTTATTCAATGGTTGTTGGGACAAACGGATTAGAGTAGCATGTCGTGTCGCCGGTTCCTTGCTCTCGTTTTCCAACTAAGATAAACTCGTAATAGTTCAAGCATCTTAAATGACATATTTACGTTCAATTCAAAACAGTATTTCGATGTCTGTAAATAAGCCCCTGGTGAGTAAATAACTATAATGTAACATATTGACGCTGTTTACTTTCCTCAAAAATAAATCTTGAACATATAGTTTCCGAAACGAAGGATAATTTAATATTGAATAGTATAATTGAGTTCATTAGGAAGTAACTATTTCAAGGCGCTTTTAAAAGTTTTCTTCACGATTACAGTTACTTCATTGTTGATGAACTCTACACAGAATGTTCCGAACTAACATAAAAAAAACGCTGTATAAACGATGAATTCTACTAGAAAACACAAGTACACTTTCATTTAATATAGAACTCATTTATCAAATTAACTGAAATATTTTAACAGATAAATCTTTTCATATAAATAAAGCATAATTACATGTTAAAACACAATTGTTAAATATAATTACACACACACACACACACACACACAAAACCAACTGATTATAGAGAAAATCTTATGAAATATATTTGTTATATCATCACAGTGTCCAGTGTTCAGCATTACTCATACGCGAGAATTTATTGAATTCAGTTTAAGAATTATCATAAACCATGATTACAATGATTTCTGCATATCCATAAGAAGATATTCATAAATGTAAAGGGAATTAAATAAAAAAAAAAAAAAGAACAATACAAGAAATAATAATGATTAGAAGAAGGAAGTTAGTTTTATCACTTCGAATATATTGAATATTTCATGTAAACAGTTAAACAAGACAGGATAACATTTCATAGTTATTATAATTATGAATTATTAAAACCAACCAAAGAGATAGGAAAAAAATAACTGATCGTTTCCATTGAAAATCAAAGCAACATCAATCAATGCTTGTCTATTCATCTTGTTAGGTATTTTTTTTCTTCTCAACTTTAACTATACTACTACTACTCGTGTTGTATGAATAACAAACAACCAAAAAAAAAAAACACAGCTAAGAGTTCAGACAAATAATGTTAGTGAAAAAGAATATGTATGTAAGATGATATACACAAGTAAAAATATCAAATTCACAATTCACAAAAAGCTATATATATATATATATATATCCAAATTCACATATATATCACAACTGCTAAGTTGGAGTTAATATCAATTCACCAAAAAGAAAATATATAACCAATTTTTGTAAAATCATACTTTATAGGTTAGTTACTGAATTAGTTATTTGATTGGTAGAGTAGTTCATAGAAATGATAATTTATTTTTGTATGCTGAGAAAGGAAATTTAAAACAAAACAGAAGATTGACATTTTCACTTCAACATGAAATACATTAAAATCACACGCAAAGTCATATTTTTATGTAAAACAAAAAAAAAATAAAATATTGATCATAGGATAATAAATACATGCAATAATAATAATAATAATAATAATAATAATAATAATAATAAAAAGAAAAGGAATTAAACAGAAAAAAAAAACAACGAAACAATCATCAACTCTCAACTCAACTCAAATGAAATGAAATGGAGAAGAAAAAAAATGCAACAATTCATTCATTCATTCATTCATTGAGGTTTCTTTCATTGATCAACTACTACTATTCTTCTTCTTCTAGGAGAAATAAAATTCTATAACAGAACAACACTAACCAGTAAGTTTATTGAATTCAGAGAAGGTCAATAAAAAGTAAACTATTTTTCATTAAATAATAATTAATAATAGTGATAAAACATTATCCATCTGGTAAATATTCAATAATTATTGATTATTGATCATCTCTGATAGAGGAGTTTTATGAATAGAACAGTGAGAAATATAGTCAACTCATTTTGATGACCTCCATCTTCATTAAATGTTCAGTCAATCATTATTAGGAAAGAGGAAAAAGCCAATGTTTATCTCTGATGATGGATGATTTTATAGTTAGTTGAACATAGACTAATGACAAGTAATCAATAATCATAGTGCATGATTTTTCTTTCATTTGTTTCTTTTCTTCTGGTCGTCATCATAATAGATGAAGTATTGAATGAACACCACAAAAATAGTAGCAAGCAATTAATAAAACATTTTCACTTTTTAAATTAGAAACAAATAAGTGCAGCCATGCCAGAAGCAAAATTAGATTCATGTGAAACAACTAAAAAAAGGAGAAGATATGAGCGAGAAATGAAATTATCACACACACACGCACACATAAACACAAACACAAACGATGAAGAATTATTCAAGTACAATGACTTGATAAAATTGTATGTGCACCACCGGATGATGATTTACTCCATAGAGAATCGTGAATTGTTACAGCGTCTACAACAGGGCTTAAATGTTTGGTAGAAGTGATTTCAGTAAATTGTTTTGCACCACTATTATATCTGAAAAGAAAAAAAAACATAAAAACAGTAATATAAAACCAAAATATATGAAAAACTATATACATGCATATACATAAATGAGGAGAAATTGTTTTTTTTTCATTTGACAGTGTGATTTAAGCTATCAGTTGGTGGTCGTTAATTCCGCCTGAAGTCTTTCTAAGGTTACTGCTGGTTCCAAGTCCGGATAAAGGAGGCGAGTTGGACATGAGGTTAGCGACCCTATCCAGTAGAAATCCAACTCGCTAAAAAGACGCTAACCAGAAAAATAATTCAATGGTTCGTGGCCTATGCTCTATTAGGGGTGACATGCGTAAGTAAGTAAGTAAATAAGTTGATGTTAGGTTCAAATATTATAACAGATTGTCGTTATAAACAACTTGATCTATTCGTTTTCAAATAAAATTAACATTGAGAAACGCATAATAAACTATTTAATTAAAGAATAACTAGTCTACTTATTTAAACTACAGATGAATACATAAATAAATATACATTATACTATACAAAAGTATCACAATAATGAGGAACGAGATCAAATCATAATCATAGTAATTGAAACTAGCATAAAGAGAGAGGAAGTGAATTGAATTGTGAATCTCCAAAAAATGCATATCGTTTATTTATTGCTTAATCAATGAAAAAAAGTTGTTCATATACATACAGTTTTGCCGCAGACTTTACTTTCAACACACAAAAATTCATTATCATGTATAAATCAACTGTTGTGCATTATATCTAACACTAAAATAAAATGTAACTTTAATTTTAAATTAAAAACATGAATATATCTTCCATGAAAGTACGTTTCTTTAACATTTATATAAGCTACATATTATAGAGGGAGTCTACTAAATCCCGAACGCTTTTAACAATACGTATAGTTAGTCTCTTACATTTAGAGTAAACAAACAACCAATCAGAAACACCCTAAGCAAACTTAGAATCAAGAAACTGATCAAATGGGCGAAACAATCAAAACAGAGGTGCGAACAACGACAGTCAATGAAGATCGAGGTTAACAGAACAAGCTACGCGTCAAACGTGGAGAAATTTGAATACTTCACTTCTTCTATCTGAAGTTTGTGTTGATAATGTTGTTCAGAGAAACAATCTAGGCTGCGCAACCAAAACATTCAGCTCAGAGAACGAAACACTACCGCAAGTAATTCATAATTTCAAGTAACAACAACAACAACAAATGAATGCAGAATAAAATAAACAGTAAGAACTGTATCTGGTCGGAAAAAAAATAAAGTGATTAACTATTCTCATAGCAAATTAGTTGAATGATAAGATTATGCAAAAAATACACGTTTTGTATCAAAATAATCACTAGTAATAACCACATTATATTTTTATTCATTTTATTATATAGAAAACTTATTTTCATTAGCTACAGACTAGTTTAAACATAATCAATTAATGTAATAATCATCATATCACTCTAAGCATAAATTAGATAGATATACAAGTAAAGACCAAGCATTATTCGAAATGGGTTAATATAAATGTATTATGAAAAGCGGCAATACTACAGGAATTTATTTTGAAGGTAAGTTTGAGTTAGATATTTTAACCGGAAAACTAAAAATGCCGTTTTTTTTTTGAACAAGTAAAAATAGGGCCTACTCAAATTGGGCATTGCATTTCGAATAGTGAGTGTATTGTTTAAACCGACTTGATAATAAAATATTGAGAGACTTTTATGATAGATTTCAACTTGGAAGCTGCAAGTGAGAAATAAATATGATAGAAATTTTAAAACAATGATCACATGATTCATTGACAGCGATTTCTGTAAACAGTTTAATTGTAAAGATGGCAAGGAATATAAAACTTACTTGAAAAATCGATTAACCATCTCGTGTGTAATTCGTCTAGGTCCATTGCCACAAATAATTTTTAATTCTTCTGATTCAAAATCAAATGAATACACAGCTCGATACTGACATCGAGAATCACGAAATAGTATCATAAAATGTGTACCTTCAGTAGCAGCTAATTCCTATGAAGCGATGGAAATAGTGTAAAGAAGTCTTTTATACATATACATGAAGAAATCGGTTACATTATTAAAAATTTTGACTAGTCATCATTATTCGTAAAGTAAATATATGTTACTGTTGGGGGACGTTAGTTCCCCAGAACTCACTTGGTAAATGTCCTCATTTTGGATTTTTTAGGTTTTCGCGCATAAGCTGCTTAGTTGACTTTCAGCTTACACTGTCCACTCGGAAATCCTTTGACTGTCATTGATTGATGGATTATTTTAGTACGCTATTTTTGTGGCTTTCCCAAGGACGTTTCTACCATGTATAAATAAGCTCGATTTGTGTGTTTGTGGACTTCGTGTTTCTGGGTGCTCGTAGAATATACTTTCTACGCCTTACCTATACTTCTTGCATTTGTTAGCAGGGCCCGGCATGACGGATTAGAATAGCCTATCGCGTCACTGCATCATTTGTCTTCGCTACGTTTACCGAGTAAGGTGAACTCGTAATAGATCAAGCATATCAATTGACGATCATATCAGTTACACATATCTCATTCTCCTCAGTTATTCAAGACCCTTGGTCTCAGAAAGTTACCTACTTCAGATTGGTGTAGGTATTAAGTGATTAGAAATATTATTGCGTTAGTCGCATATTTTGTACGGATTCACGTCTCCATACCATGACAGCAGAGGAAGATGAAATTATCAAGATATGTTGTACTATAGTAGAAGTAGTAAGCAATATCAGTAGTGACAAGAAGAATGAATTAGTGAAGTATAAATTGCAAAGTTTAAATTTCAACATCTAAGGAATGACAGGGACTGTATGTACCGTTGTGACTGATCGTGAGTCATGTGATTCAAGAGCTCTGCTAGTTAGTAGAGCCGATAATTGTGAGGACGCCAACCAGATAGCTTGTATCTATCAACAGGATTGAGTTCAACAGTCAGCAACTTTATAAACCCCTTGATTGCCCGACTTTAACTTAATTAATGAAAGGATGTGTTCACTTCAAGACCTAAACTAGTGTCAAGCCAACTACTCTATAGTTTCTGGTTATGAATCTATTGTTTTCTTTTTCAGCTGACTTCACTCTCGTGATTAGGAATAAATTTAAAATTTAATATTTTCTACAAATAAATCCTAGTTGTTTAGTTCTGTAGTGCTGATCAAAATTCGATCGATCATGTTGCAGTGTGACTATAAGTCTAAGTGACTCAATATAATGTGTACAGTTGTTCAGCCAGTCAGTTAGTTACAACGTAAAACTTCGTATGCACGTACATCAGTTCAGACTGCCATACCACATTAGCACAAAGATGCAATGATCAATTCAAATCCCGTAGTAGTAGAGGTAGTAGCAGAAATCGGAGAGATTAGGGTTTGAGGATATTATTCAAGAAGTCGGATCTAGTTAAATAAACTTAAAAAGAGAAAGATAAATGTGATGAAGAATTCAGAGGATTAGGATTCGAGAGACACCAAAGAATGGACGCACCTGCGCCACTGCAAACGGTTTTGAGCCATGTCATTCAAGATCTCTAACCATCGATTACTGAACAAGGTGAAACCAAATTGTTGGTTTTACTCGGGTATCCTATGCGCGTTTCGGAGACGCAACACACATCGATAGTACAAGTTTCCAGAGTCCTAGCTAATGAAGCCTGCTGTCCTTTTTGACACAATGTTCGGTCATTAGAAGCTCCAACATGTAGTTTATAGGATGGCGTTTCAGGAGACGAAGAGTAAATGGAGCTGCTTCTTTATTTTGACAAGGTGAAATCGGATTATTAATTTTATTAGGATCCTGTATGCGCGTTTCCGAGACGCAGCATACATCGATGGCACGAGATTCTAAAGTACTAGCTAACGAAGCCTGTTGCCCTATTTGACACAATGTCCGGATATTAAAAGCTCCAACATGTAGTTTAGAACGGGGTTTCAAGAGACCAGGAATGAAGTCTCGTGAACTCGAATCGTTTGCATTAGTGGTGCAAGGAGATAAAGGAATGTTAGTCCTGGAGGTAAGAGAGATGTTAGTGGATGTAGGAAGGATTTGAATGTGACCAATTTGGTCTCCTGTGCTGTTACAGGGTCGACTTTATATCGAACCCCTTCTATCACTGTGAGAAGACAGCATTACTGCTGGTCGTCGGGGGGAAACACCTTACTGATGTCACATCCCTCTGCAGTCAGCAGTACAACTTCGCCCTCAGACCTTGAGTAGCTGCCTTTAGTCTCATCGTTCTTCAATCGACCTGCCTGGTATGGTAGAACCTTCAGAAACATATATTTCAGGTAATATAGCTCGGTTGGGTCGTCGCGACAGGCAAACCCGAACACCACGTAAAGGTAGTAGCTACGGTCAGGGTGTACAGATGTTATGTGATTACAAGTAATCATCAGGAAACTCGTAGGGAGTACAGACAAAATCAAGATTATGGATATACAATGTTGATGAGTGACAACTATAATCAACCTTACATCTAGGATTTCATGATAACTTCCTCCAAACACTTAACAAAATGACAAAGATGATAATCAAATTGGATATTTGCTAGTGTATATAAATAAAGTGTTTGTAGATAATATGATAAGTGAACAATCTATTCAATGTAACTCATTGTCATAAATGAAAATAACAACTAAAGACAGCACTGAGTAAAAAGTTATACAATTGCAAAAAAAAGAAACAAACTTTAAGTGCAAGTTGTTTTGCTGGTTCATTGACTGTTCCAGCTAAACAACAATGACTAATTGCATTAACTACAACAGTTCGATTGGATTTTGCTTTAGGTTTCACAAATAAACGTGGTTGATTTAAACATTGAACTGGTACACCAGGACCACTAGATGGAGATTCTGAAGCACCAAGTCGATGTAATGCTAGAAAATTTTATAAGAACACAAAAGTCATGTTCTCCTTCGTTAAAAAAAACAGGTTAATGAGTAAAATTATATATTTTTTTAGAATATTCCAATGTGAAACAGTTAACCTGAATATGGAATATGTCTCTATTCATTTTGGGAATTTCGCTTTCGTAAAAACATTGAAACAGATAATTGTCACGATTGAATGTGAAGGAACGATAAATTTTAAATTAGGATGTTTGGTTCTTAACACAACGAATAATAACACTTCACTATAGAGAAGTCCTATGGCTCCAGGGTGTTGAGTTCTAGATAGTTTATTCTCTAATCTTCCACTGTCCAGATATTAAATTCTCACTGACAATGAACAGTTACAAATTATGAGGACTCTCGATAACTCTTACAACTCTAAATCACATTCCACTTCGCTGAATTAATTAGTTAGCTTATAATGAATAAGAATAGTTTACATTAGATACCTCAATACTTTACTTACTTACGCTTGTTACCCCTAAGGGAGCATAGATCACTGAAGACACATCAGTACTTTTCTAATAATCTAGTTCTAATAAAAGCCATGTTGAAAAAAACAACTATTATTGTTCAGGTAATTATGAAATTTTAAGATCAAGAAAATGACAGAGCTTTGCTTTAGCCAATGTGAAAATGTCTACTTACAAGTAGTTTAACATATATTATTATTTTTATATTGAATTTTTATTGTGTATGCAACAAGTTATATATAAGGAATAACTCTGAATTCTGATCAGTGCATGTTTGTTGACACTATATTTACTGCGTCGACTGTAAATTGGAGTAAATTTCGCATTATCTACTATTCATTCAGAGAGGTTTTGTGAACAGTAATAGAGTATATATATATATATATATATATATATATGTTTGAAAGTTATCAACTTACATGATAAACTAATTCCAGCAGGAAGCGGATTACGGCTAGACGTATTATTATTAACAGCAGAGCTACCATTGACAGGACGATTATGAGTTGCACGAATTTTAGTTTCTCGAAAAGATGAACTATCACAATCAGGCTCAGTGTTTGGTGGTTCCACAGCTTCACCATCACCACTACCACGTATAATAATCGATGAAGGATGTGGTTTAGATTTAGCCGAATTTAAACGAGAATTCGGTTTCGACGATGGAAAAGTATCCAACGAAGCAGCAACTAATGCGCTTCTATCACGTTTCGGAGTAGCAGTTGATCGTTTAGTGACACTATGCTTAGGTAGAGATGTAGATAAATTAACTTCAGATTTAGAAAGTGATGATGAACCAGATCTTACAGGGTATGGATTATTGTTAGTATTATTATCCTTAGTAGTAAGAGTACGACAGTTTGGTGATAAAGAAGCCTAGAAAACCAAAATAAATAAACAGTAATACAAATGGTTTCCAGAGAAAAAGGATTTTTCAACGTAAATCAATAGAGGTATATTAGGAAAAGTTTACGAATGCAATTTGTTGAAAGAAGATTTTAAACAAACCTCATGTTGTTTAGACTATAATTCAAGTATGTGATTTTTTCTGTATACTTATGTATTTATATTTAAATTTGTCAATTATTAAATATAATAACAAATAGAATCTTATTCACAACTTCATCCATTTCTTTGTGAATTTTTCGATAAATGACACCTATACTTCATGGTGATTGAATGATGTACAAAAATGTCCGTTTCAATCATTTTCAAGTGAATAATAATAATGTTACCCACATATAATCAACTTAAATCCTTACAATGCTTTGCAAATGATGAGTAGGAATAGGCATAATAAGTTAGTATTTTGTACAGAACATTGGAACTTCATTAGTTGAGGTGGTTGGGACATGTGTTACGTATGGCTAACCACCGACTGGCTCGACGAGCTATGTTTTGTGGCATGGGAGTAGGTTGTAAGAAATCTAGGGGCGGCCAGACCAAAACATGGCAGAAATCCATGAAGTCACTGACTAGTAGACTGAGTCATGTTGGTAGATGTAGACTACCTGGTTGGGGTCCGCGAGACGAAAGTCACCAATGGTTAGAGACCTTGAACGACATGGCTCAAAATCGTTTGCAATGGCGCAAGTGCATCCATTCTTTGAGCTCTCTCAAATCTTAATATTCTGGATTCGTCAGCACCTCTACCTTTGTCTTTCTAACCTTATCTCACTGAATTATACTTCTTGAATAATATCTTCGAACCCTAGTCTTCTTCATTACCATTAATACCTCTACTATCTTTATCACTATGGGATTTGATTTGACATTTGCGTCTCTGTGCTGATGTGGTATGGCAACATGAACTTATGTACATACGTACGAAGTTCCACGTTGCAACTGACTGACTGACAGAGCTAGTTTGTATCAATTTAATCCAATGTCAGATGATAAGTGAGGTGGCCAGGTATCTGTCTGCTACACATATATTTAAAAAGTTTCTATTGTCTCAACAGTCTTATTATTATTATTATTATTATTATTATATGAATAACCTTGGTAGTACAGACTGTTAGTGGGCAGTAGATGCTAATAGAACACACCTATTATAGTATTGAGGTGGTGGGGAAAATCTGTAACTCAGGTGGATGATTGCGATAGAGTTTCGTTCTCTGAGTTGGATATTTTGGTTTGTGCTGATGATGTTGGCCAGAAGAACCAAAACATCCAACTCAGAGAACGAAAATCTATCACTCGCGATAGTCTTCTGATTTGACAATAAATCACTGTTTTACGATGATCTTATTAAAGATAGATTATTAATCATGCTAACTGAAGTTGATTGATATAATTGAACATTTGTAGTTTGTCCTTCTCTACCATTATGAGAATGTCCCATCTAGCAGATTTACTAAAATCATTAACATGCTAGAGTGAATTTTCATGTATCCACTGGAAGAAAACTAGTTCTTATAAACTAAATCATCGTTTCTTTATGGTTAACGAAAAGTAAAATATTTCTTCTCGCTCAAATAATTTTTGCTTTATCGATTTGCATTACGTTAGATTATTTATTAAGGAGAATGAAAAATTGATTCTAGTTTGCTGACTGGAAAAAAAACAATAAAATATGATAAACAAATGATAAAAATTACATAAACACAGATTGAGATATAATAAACATTGTTTTTTTTGAATGCCAACTTACCATTATATTTGAAATCGTCAACCAATCATTGTTAGATCACTATCAGAAACCTGGAAGTACTGGACGCTCGTTTTATCCTGGTATGGCACTCATCGTAAAGTGTGTTTACTAGTGACAAGCTTCGTGAGAAAATCCTCAGAGTTCTAGAGAGAAGACGTGACCAATGGAGTTCAACCCTGTCGGGTGTATGCAGTAACTACCGAAGACACATAGGTGAGGTCGTGCGAAATCTCTAGATTGATCAGAGTTAGACACTAACACCGTTGGATGCCGGCCCAGTGGTTCAGAGGTTAGGTGTTCGCAGGTACGACCGAAGATCCTGGGTTCGAATCCTGCGAGGTGCAGGAGTCGTGGATGCGCACTGCTGATGAGTCCCACACCAGGACGAAACGGCCGTCCAGTACTTTCAGGCTTCTAATGGTGGTCTAATAATGATTGGTCGATGATTTCAAATGTGTAAAAACAATAGTCTCCATAACCCTAATTGAAAATTTATCATCATATGCTTGTCTTAAAGATATTCATTTCAAGAATGAAACATGGGAAACATTGGAAATTGAAAATGGCAATTGTCATAGTATTTGGATGAGTAGCTTATTCGAGAGATAAGAAAAACGAATGATAATTATACACATTAATAGAGATTACATAACGCTACCAATCCTCTGCTATGATAGAAAAGGTTAAGGAAGTTATTTGGCATAGATTGGTTTCTAAAAGTTCTAACTGAAACTAGTATATACCTAATGAGCAGAAAGTTTACTGCAAATTATTATGTTACAAGTCTGGTATAAATGTTAACATAAGGGTATTTTGTAAATAATATATTTCTCAAATAAAAATGAATAACTAGAAAGCTTTAAAGAAATACAAAACTAAATACGCATATAAGTTCTTTTGTAATACAAGACAAAATATTTCGAGAAAATGTTTAAACATAAGAGAGAGAGAGCGAGTAAGTTAGAATGAGGAGCTAAGTAGTTGGGTATTGAGCTACTTCAACAAATATAAAATATTACTCACTTCTTTCTTAGATAAATGTGCTTGTAGTACAGCTTCACGTCTTTCTTTTTCGTTTAGTTTCCGTTCAAATTGTGCACGATCAGCTGCTTCTTTCTCTTTACGACCAGTAGTACGTAATGCTTCCAGTTGTTCAGCAACCATGGCTCTTTCTGTAGCACGACGAGCTTCTAATCTATCCCTAGTACGCTGCATTCGCTGTAAAATAGAGTATACAATTTAGAACTATTAAGTCATATGAGTAAAGGCAGAAATAAGAGTGATATATATAAATATATATACAAAAATGTCTTTTTGAAAAAATCTCAACTCAATCAGATGCCATGTCACACGACAAACAGTTAAATTGGACAACCATAAGAACGGTTTATTAAGATGTATATAAAATTACGCATGTAGCCTTTCTAAGATGACTGTTTATTTCAAGCCAATAGACAGAAAACTTGTTTAAAAAAACGCTAACCAGAACAAATAATTCAAACTACTTAAACGCTACCCTGGCAGTTGGCTTCTTATTTATAATAGCTATGAAACCTTATGGTGAAAGCTGAATTTCTTCGGAAGTCACGAGGCTGATACCTCTCCTTTGACATATTTATATATATGCCAAAAGACAGTGCCGAGGTTCTGACTGGATAATTGACGAAGTAGCATGTACACGATTATCTCAAACTAATAACTTGATGTTAAAAATTATTAGGTTGGAAGATCTAGTTAGTGTGAGAACAGAGAATTCAACCAAATAAATTAAAATCTATTAAAATTATTAACAGATAAATGTAGAAAAACAGAAGCCTACCTCCGGATCTGGTTCTTTGAAGCCAATAAAGAAAAGTTTTCCTTCAGGATTAGCATCTGGAGTTTTGAATACAGGAGATGTCATTTGTTTCTGACTATTTTCTACAGGTGAAGGATTTGATGGTGCAGTTGATGAATTTGATAAGTCAGTAAAATTATTAGTAGAAATTGAACACTCTTCAGGATTACCATTGTAAGACTAAAACAAAAAAGGAGAGAAGTTCACATTTATTGTAAGATTAAAATGTTATTTGTGTATAATAAATTAGATTATTCTAAAATATACTAATTAACTACAGTTTTGTATGATTGGATTGCGGGTGCAGGTGAGTGAAACTGCATCACTAACACTACTGAAGATAAAAAAAAAAGCTGAGTAGCGTGATAGATTCTAGTGTTAGGAATTCAAAAATCTATAAATCAAAAGCAAGAAATGGTTTTTACACAAAGAAAAGATAATCAGCATAATTTTGAAAATCATTACTAGTTAGTTACCATATTGAGGAATGACAAAGAATGTAACACTCTACAAAGTGGATAAATAATATAACGACAATGTTTTAACAAAACACTTTTGAATGATGTTATACAGAAAATAAAATGGAATGTAATCATTAACTAGATAAAAAGGTTATTCAATAAACTGATGTGTAATCGTGACTTTTTTTACTGGTTATGTTTAAATTTGAATCTATCTAATCACGCATGATTCACACGTAAGTTTGAATTCCGAGAGAAAAATTATTTAAAATAACCGGGAAGTAATTTTGTCATGTATGACAATGTAAACAACAGAACACATTTCCTTACAAGATGGTTATAACAATGAGGTCACGCTTATTGATTAGAAAAGTTGTAGAAAATCAGAACTAAAAGTTTATTTTTCTAAGTATGTCATGTTAATTAAATAAGTCCAGTCGTTTAAGATAGAACAATTTTATGTGAAGTATTTTTGCGCAGCAATGAAGACTATAATAGATGTGTGGTAAGAAATCTTTCATCTACAATAACGGAGACTAGTTGATGATGATTATATAAGAACATATTTATGCATTTTCAATACAAATGTCAAGACAGTTCTACTATATGGAGCGGAAACATGGAGAACTACCAAAGCCATCGTCCAGAACATACAAGTGTTTATGAACAGTTGTCTAAGCAAAATACTTCGGATTCGTTGGCCAGACAACCTTCAGCAACAACGAACTGTGGGAGAAAACAAACCAGATTCCAGTGGAGGAGGAAATCAGGAAGAAGCGGTGGAAGTGGATAGGATGTACACTACGAAAAGCACCTAACTGCGTCACGAGACAAGCCCTCACATGGAACCCTCAAGGCAAAAGGAAAAGAGGAAGGCCAAAGAATACATTACGCCGAGAAATAGAGAAAGATATGAGAGGAATGAACAAATATTGGACAGAACTGGAGAAGGAAGCCCAGGACAGAGTTGGTTGGAGAAAACTGGTGGGCGGCCTATGCTCCATTGGGGGTAACAGGCGTAAGTAAGTAAGTAAATGTTTATGCATTATGCGAGGTAAACTGTGAAGGTCTGCAAAATAACAGTAAATAAATAAGTTTTCGGGACACTAATATCTGATCAAATATTCTCATCATTGAACTAAAGAAAAAAAAGCCTCAATGAATTGAAGCTTAAATTATAACATAGTAGAATACACACAATATACAACTTACAGGTTTATTAGAAGCAACTAAATTGTGATTATCATCAGCTTGTATAACAACTGATTCATCTGTATTAATTTCATTATGTTCAATGGAACTATTAACTAATATTGAATGATTATTATCAATTGATGCATGAACATTATGTTTTACACTTAAATCACGAACAATAGGTCTATCACTCCATGTAGCACGTGTTGTAGATATATTCGATGTCGATGTAGACAATGCTTGTGTATGATACAATTGACTTACTGCCGATGGTGTTGATGATGAATGTTGTGGTGGTTGCTGCTGCTGTTGTTGTTGAAAACTACTTGCCATTAAAGCAGCTGCTGTTGTCGCAGATGATGAAGCCAATAATACTTGTTGTTGCATAGAAAGACGTTCAAAACCAGAACGTAAATCAGACATATTTCGATTGATTTGATCTAATGTAACTGGATCAATAACAGATGTGTGATTATTTCCACCACCTATTGAATTCATGTCAACTTTATGTCCACGTGGACTGACTACCCCACGAGATGAAGCAAACGATGGAGCTGGAGAATAAGCTCTACTCTCGGATTCACCCAATTCATATCCATATTCTGATGATTTACGACCACTCGACCTGTATCTATTCCTAGAAAAAAAAATAATACATATGTTTGCATTAGGAAGTTAACTATGAGATGATGAAGAATGTTTGCAGCTCAGAACAAGGATGTTGGAGGTGTTGTGATCTCTGAGCCAAGTGGACTGGTTGTCAGGCTTTTCTTGTTAGTCCGATCATCATCAGCACGTAATTTCATTCGGCTCAGAGATCAGAACACCTACAACGAAGTAGATTGTGAAATTGACAAAGTGAATAGGTAAACGTACTGTCACTTGGATAACTATGAGAGAGTTTAAAACTTGTAGTGAATGGTACACATACACAAAGTTAGTTAAACTTAGCATTCAATATCATTGTTTGGTTCAGAATAGCATGATTAAGTTAGATTTTATTTCTGTATAAGAAAAAGGTTTATTTATGTATGGTCAAAACAGAATTAGTATAAAATAATATTTGACCGGTAATTACTGGAAATATATTTCTTCACGTTAAAAAAGTAACAATGGTATTTTGTTGTAGTCTTGTGGGGACTGATGCTTTGAGTGAATTCACTGCCGATGACCTCCGACTGCTTAGCATCACAATATAGTACACATGATATGAAGGGTCTTCGATCGACCAGATTTAATCAGCACTAAGAAGGAATTGATATGCATGACATCGGTCATTACCCAAACCTATAAATGATAGGTAGTGACTTAAATAGTTCAGTAACAACATTTCTGATTTGCAAGTTGACTGGTTCGGGATTGAATCCTCCAGGGAGTATCAGTCCGTTCAGTACTAAAAGTGTACTTTGCCAACGAGTGTCAAACAAATTGAAAACTTGGTCAAGTAGGGTTTCCTATCAACTACCTTCAGACATCATCTATCGGAATAGCTTACTACATGTAAGCACTAACGAGCTACTTGGACGTAGCTATCTGGTTAATGGTATAAGAAAGTGAACTTAGTCAAAATCAGCTCACATGATAAATATAATTATATTAATAAAAAAAGAGGAAATTCTCATTAACCTACTTTGAACGTGATTTCGGTAGTCTAGATAATGATTGATGCGAAAACCGACCAGAATAAGACATTCGACTAGTATATGGAAAGGAATGATAATCACATGTTTGGGCGGAATAATCATAATCGTCATCATCAGTTTCTGAACTTGCTTCATTGGAACTGCATTCATGATAATCACAGCTACGTATTACTTGATTTGGGATATTATGACGACGATAATACCGTTGGGATATATGTTTATGAGGAAACGATCGGTCATCGACAGGATTTTGTGAAGGAATATCACGTGGATAGTTTTTATGATTGATATGGCAGTGTTTAAAAGGAGATTGACCATCATGAAGTGAATCAACTGGAATAGGACCATGCTCATGATAGGCAGTAGCTGATGACATGCATCCTGGATATGTTTTATCCACATAGTTTCGTTGTTTCGACCCTTTATGAGTTTGAGGATATTGAGAAAGAGCATAGTGATAATTCACGTCTGTAAATAAATCAAGTTGAGGAGTAGACTCTCTTTCAATAAATCTAGACTTGGGTTTTTTAGAATCACGTTTATGCTGATAGGGCAATGTTTGATACTGAGGGACAGATTTAGCATGGTGTGATTCTTCACTATCGGATTGTTGATCTCTTGAAGGCGAATTTCGATCAAGTTCTCGATAAAGTGAATCATAATGATTGTTCATGTGAGCAGCAGTACGATGATGTAATGAAGGCTCAGCAGTTAGATTAGAATGATCATTTGTTTGAATTTTATTCTGACGTAATTGTGGAGATTTAGGACAAGGAGGAATTAATGCATTTGGTTCATTTGTGAATATATCAGAAGTATCTTCTACTGATCCATTCGTTGCACTACTTTCCATATATACAGTAGAATCTTGTAAAGGCTACAAGTAGGTGGGATGACAATAATAAAATTTTAAAAGATAATCAACTTGTACAGATGATAATTATACAGAATACTAGTACTATATGAATCGTAGTAGTGGATTTTAGATAGAAAGTTATTATTAGTATTTCCATTCATGTAAGATGATAATGTTGATTGAGTTTTATGATAAAATAGCGGATATATTTAGGAGATTCGAATGTTAGTAATGATGAACTTACTTATTTACTTACGCCTGTTACTTACAATCGAGCATAGGCTGCTGACCAGCGAATTATATTTCTGGTTAGCGATTTTTTAGCGAGTTGGATTTCTACCGAATGGGGTTGCGAACCCCCAGCACAATCCTTCTCCTTTATCAGGGCTTGGGAAAGGCAGTAACCAAAGAAGGACTCCAGGTGGAGTTTGGGATTCATGAAACCAGTACATAAATATACATACATTGAAAAGGTTATTTGTAAGATATTTATTTTATGATATTTTTTATATTCTCTCGATCGTAGCTGGTACCTTGTCGTGGTGATCGGGCTTGTTTTTTGCGATAACTAGTTAACTATAGGTAATTTTTAAAAAAAACTTTGCATAAGAATTTCACATTCATATAAGAAAGACTAATGATGATATGTTCATTTAGTAGTAAAATAAAAAAAGTGATCTAATCAATTTGTTTGAATTCAGAAAAGATGTACGACCATATAATGTTTACATTTGATAGGCATACTGTGTAATATTTGACAACTGATCAAAGTGTAAAAGAGACCAGACAGATAGATTGTATAATGAAACAATGAATAAAGATAAAAATGTCAACCATTGATTGTTTTTCCCTATGTATGATAGAATTGCATTATATGAACTGTGCACAGTTTAATGATAAGATAAACTTCATCTTAAAACTATGTATGCATCTAGGGTTAGTGAAAAAAAATTAGCATGATTCACCAAAAACATTGACTATGTATATGTATGCGAAAAAATAAAATTATCTGTATGGAGGCTATGCCAAATAACTAATTGCTGTAGAAATCATGAACTAATCTATGTTAGACAATCAACGAAAATTCGCACAACCATTTCATCCTTGTAACAGACTTTTCACATAGATGCAACCACGTCACACACTCCTTAAGTAGAAGCGTATACAGAAAAGTTCCGCTGCTTGCCAATACACTCACTTTTATAGTTTTACACCTATCCGCTACAAGAGAAATTTGGTTAGATGTCTCACTAGCAGAGCAAAAATGATCTGTTCAGTGGATACTTTAAGTCAGCAGGCGGAATTCATCAACAGTTCACTGACCGAGATCAGCTACCCTAGCGTGTTCATAGAGAAGTATATGTTGAATGTGAAAGAAAGAAGTCGGAGACTTCGACCGTTTGAAAGTAGCCTTTATATATTAAACTATAAATCAACGGAGATGTGGCTAGCGGTCCTCTGCAGGACAGAATGACGAAGATAATTAGTATAACATTTTACGCAGTCAAACTTGCGTTGACCTTCTCAACTGGACCAGCGGTGTCTACCCAAACGAAGGATAAGTAAGCTGAGTTGGCCTCCCTCACTGTTTTTACACATTCAGCTGCACCTGTGGAGATAGCTATATCAGGCGTGGCGCATTACCAGGCAACTTAACCAACGAATGAGTGAACACCTCCCAGCATGGTTTATGAAGGGCAAGTTAAGAAACAAAACAGAGTTCTATCTTGGCACACCTAACTGATAGTGGTCATGTTGTTGATAGTGTTGTTGCGAGTGATCTAACGTATACCTTTATCATTTCCCAACAGAGTTCGATTTCGTTTCCTACACAGCAAAAGCCATAAAAATTCGAATATCCTACTACTGAGAATCAACCACAGGAACTGTGGTCTCGTGAATCAAACCCAAGTACTGAAATCTAACAGTGTACATGTCTAATATCAATCAACTTTTGATGTTGAAAGAATATTTTTTAATCGTTTTCGGGTAAAGGAGTGGAGTTGTAGATGTTCTGTTACGCCTGCACGTAAACACGCCATTTTGACATGCTTGAACCATTACGAGTTTACCTAGTCGGAATACGAGAGCGAGGATCGAGGATCCGGAGACACGACATGCTACTCAATCCGATTATCCCAACCCCCATATTGAGTAAAAATAAGAAGACTTGGTTTGAAGTAGAACTTGTATTCTACAAGCATTCAGAAAGTACGACGTCCGAGTCCGGAAGGGAGTTAGGATCCCGGACTAGGGATCCGGGACCGGGTCCTGGTTCTCGTCATAAAATGTTACAGATAATGCGTATTTATACATTTTGGTCGAATAGGAAACAGCATCGAAGTCTGTGACATTGACAGTTAAGACGACCAATAGGAAGCAACATTTGAAGTGACATTGATAGTCAGGACAACCAATAAGTAACAACATTGGAGCACATGACATTGATATCTAGGACAACAATAAAATTTACCAATAGGAATTGGCCCACAATTCTCTTAGGATATTGGATGAATATCCTAACATGTTCACTATTGAGTGGTCATATAACTAGGACGAAATAGGTGCCCAGTGATTTAAAGTTTTCAATGTTCGCCTAATAGGTCGGTCTGTGATCTCAAAAGATAAAATTACTAAACATAACTGTTTTTTAACATCACCAACGAATTCTAATTATCATAAGATGAGTAAAGTAAGAAAAAAAAATTAACATATGAAACTAACACTACTAACCTCAGAAATATTCGGCACGGTAGATGAAGAATTCATTGAGAAATCTTCATCTAAATCTGTTGCTTGTTCAACATTAGACCTAGACACTGTAATTTCATCTTTATCTGTTGTGAAATGAGCGCATACTGAGTCAACACAAGCACGATTGGACTTTTCTGATTGGTTAAATTTTGTAGGCAAAGAAATTGATGAATTTTCAATTTCTGATACTGTTTCACCATCATTCGATAATTTAGATTGATCATTTGGCATACTTTGACGTTGATGAAACTAAAAGATTGGAGATAAATTAAAAATTAATTGAAAACTACCAAATAAAAACAGTCTGAAAAGACTTAAATTTTTTTTGAAAATTTCAAATAAATAATGAAATTTCTACAATATCTAATAATTTTGATTTTGCATTGCTGACAAAATCGTAGGCGTACATTGTCAAGGAACATTATACTCATCAGTTGTAACAAATGTTATGTTTACCAGCATTTTGAATGCATCTTCAACTGAGATTAATTAGTTGTGAAAAAATTAGTTGGAAACGAATAATAATATTTAACCCAATGATGTTTTTAGATCAAGCCTACAATGCTCACTAGTGACCAGCATCGTGAGGAAATTCTCGGAGTTCTAGTGAGAAGATATGACCAATGGAGTTCAACCCTGTCGGGTGTAGGCAGTAACTACCAAAGACAAATGGGTGAGGTCGCACAAAATCCCTAGATCAATCAGAGTTAGACATTAACACCGTTGGATGCCGGCACAGTGGTCCGATGGTTAGGCGTTCGCGCATAATACCGAAGGTCCCGGGTTCGAATCCTGTGAGGAGCAGGAGTCGTGGATGCGCACTGCTGATGAGTCGCATACCAGCACGAAACGGCCGTCCAGTGCTTCCAGGTTTCTAATGGCGGTCTAACAATGATTGATCGATTATTTCAAATGTGTAGGTATTGAGTTCGTCACTAAGTATGCTTGAGGCTATTACGAGTTCACCTTAGTCGATAAACGCGAACGACACAATGAACCAGCTTCCAGGTAGGCTACCTTGAATCCAAACGGTAAAACAGAAGTCTTGATAAGCGTAGAAAGTATATTCTACAAACACTCAGCAATCACAGTACAATCAACTATACAACTCTCGTTTATTTATACAGCATAGAAACGTCCTTGAGACATTTAAGAAAATAGCACACTAAAATACACAGCAGCCAATCACAGACACGGATTTTCCTGGTGGGAATTGAAATCTCAAGGTCAACTGATCAGCCCATGCTGGCAAACGTGAAATCCAAAATAAGGCATTTATCAAGCGAGTTCTGGGGATCTAACATCCCCAACACTCCTCCCCTTTTTAATAGCGTGTGCTCCTGGGGTCGACTTGCATCTTGACTGTCGTTCGCCGCTGTCTGAGAGGATACCTTCGGGAACGAAGAACAGCTTGCTGCTGAGTTTCTTCTCGTGGCGGGCTCTTAGTAGGTCAAAGGTATCAAGCAAGATGTCAAGGGGAAGGCTTTCTGCTCTTGATGGGCGATCTGGGGCTAGCCGTCTGCGTATCTGATTTCGATGACGTGACCATTTATCACCTCCTACCTCTACTTCGTACATAACTCGACCAACCCTTCTGACCACTCTCGCTTCTACCCAAGGACCATGGTTCGTTCTGTAGTCGCGGGCAAACACAGGGCATCCTACTTCGTAAGTGGGTTGTCTTTGCTTCTTTGTCTCTACTGATGAGGGTGCATTAGTTGGATGCATCAGACTGTGGATCGTTTTCAATCTTCTTCCCATTAGGATTTCAGCTGGGGAAGAGGTGAATTGAGAGCCATTGTCGGATACGATCACATCTGGTATGCCATTTCGTGAGAAAATTTTAGTTAGGAATTGTATAGTCT